ATCTAACAACCTGTGAGGCAAGGTCCTTACTTTTCTTCATCTCAGCATCTAACTGACTCTTCAAGTCCTGTAATTCCTGGAAAATGAAAGAAAAAGTGAGCAAGCTCACATACCCCACGCTTCCCCAAAACTCGACAATGCAACACGTAATGAATGGCACAGTGCATTTTAAATACACAGTATAATTCAAAAAAGGGGCATTACTTGCAAAAAATCATCACATCAAAACTTCTTGCATATAAGGACATTCAAATCTTTGTATGTTACAAATTTAACTGGGCTGAAGTTTCTAGATAAATAATGGAATCAAAATTTCTTGGTAATATACAAATCTATACATTATTCTGAAATACCTACAAAGTTTCAGGAAATTCAGTGCCGGAATTATCCTGACAAACTGTTATTTAAATTCCTCAGTGATTTCGATTTGTTAATGAGTGTAAGTCCATGTCCAACACATGACAGTTTACACATTTAAATAATTGATGGAAACAAAATTATGATGTAGTCATTCATATGAATCTGTTTATATACTGTACTTATGAAATTATTTAAGGCAAAGCACACCAATTTGAAGGGGGGGGGGGGGGGGGGGGGGGGGGGAGAGAACTATCGAAGATGGTGTGTGTGTGAGTGTGTGTTTGTGTTAAACCATTAATATTTTGATCTCAAAATCAATAGGGGTCTTTTAAGGTCATAAAATATTTCACATAGAATTTCATTATAAAAAGCTGATTCCAGTGGAGTTTCTTATTACCTAGCTGGAAAGTTTCTTCAATAAAAGGCAAAACTCTTAAGGCAAAAATAATGGAATCGGAATTTCCTGGTAATATGCACATCTACACACTGTGTACTAAATATCTACAAAGTTTGTCCAAATTCTGTGCAGCGGTTTAAGAGGAGTTGTGCTGACAAACTGTTCATCTCTATATTCAAGATATGGCCAAAAACCTAAGTTGAAAAGTGCCGAAATTCCCAGAAAAATAATGGAATCAGAATTTCCTGGTAATATGCACATCTACACACTGTGTACTAAATATCTGCAAAGTTTGACCAAATTCTGTGCAGCGGTTTAAGAGGAGTTGTGCTGACAAACTGTTCATCTTTATATTGAAGATATGGCCAAAAATCTAAGTTGAAAAGTGCTGAAATTCCCAGAAAATATAAAGGAATCGGAATTTCCTGGTAATATGCACATCTATACATTGTGTGCTAAATATCTGCAAAGTTTGACCAAATTCTGTGCAGCGGTTTAAGAGGAGTTGTGCTGACAAACTGTTCATCTTTATATTGAAGATATGGCCAAAAATCTAAGTTGAAAAGTGCCGAAATTCCCAGAAAATATAAAGGAATCGGAATTTCCTGGTAATATGCACATCTATACATTGTGTGCTAAATATCTGCAAAGTTTGACCAAATTCTGTGCATTGGTTTATGAGGAGTTGCGCTGACAAACTGTTCATCTCCATATTCAAGATATGGCCAAAAATCTAAGTTGAAAAGTGCCGAAATTCCGAGAAAAATTAAAGGAATCGGAATTTCCTGGTAATATGCACATCTACACATTGTGTCCTAAATACCTGCAAAGTTTGACGAAATTCTGTGCAGCGGTTTATGAGGAGTTGCGCTGACAAAAAAACAGGACTGACGGACTGACTGACTGACTGACACACTGACTGACTGACTGACTGACGGACGGGTCAAAAACATTATACCTCACGCAACTTGTTGCGTGGGGTATAAAAAGCAATATTTCAAAATTACATGTACAGTATTTGTTCATCTTGTACATTTATTCATCTTTTGCTGAAAATACATGTACATCATAACAAACTTCTATTCACTACTTATAATTAATACAAACCTTTGTGAGGTCAGCTGTGTTTGATTGCTGTATTGAACTCTGTAGAGATGAGATTCGTGTTTCAGCCTGTCAATAATTACATGTTCCAATGAGAACATACATGTACACTTAATTAAATTTCATCATTACTATTCTATCTTATATAATTTCCATGCCAAAATACTAAAACATGCCAATTATAAAGAAAAAATAAACACTACAAAACCCTTATCCAAGAAAATATAGTGCATTTAATATCTGAAAGGTTGGGTTGTGAATATGACAGGGAATTGACAGTTCTATAAAACATGCATTTACTGAAGTGGTAAATTCTCTTCTTTTTAAATTTCTATTTCTTGATATGAATCATTTTTCCTGTACAACATTTATCTCTCTTCACCTCATTCACTTCATCTTGAAGCTGTGAACATTTATCTTCTGAAATTTTCAATTGTTCCTCTAAGGTTAAAACTTTGGCTTTCATCTGAAAACATTTAGATTTTGGTGAATTAACTTCAAATTAACACAAACATTTCTCAGCTACATTTACCATACTAGACCAAACTTCATATTAAACAAGGTTTGCTGTTTTTGTTCATTTTTTACCAAAGGACTAAGCAGCCAAGGGAGATAACTAATAAAACCCAATAATTCAAGGCTATATCATGCTCAACTGTAAAATCCTCAACATTAATCAAACATGCTTTATTATTATTTCTCAAAAGTCTCATCATACATTTTGTAATCTGTATAGTATTTCAATTAAAGGCTAAATGAAAGCTACTGAATATAGATTCCAATAACACAATGCAAAAGAGTTGTATATGCAAATATCATATTCATATCACAACTTGCTTAAAATATTAATGGTTAAAATTCAACCTACATGTACATGTATTTTAGTTAATTGTGAAATACATATATTAATGTAAAACAATACACTGTAATTAGATTGGTATTACACGTACTGATGTTTACACATATTTGTTACATAAATTGTAAAATTTATGCAGCACCAACCCATGTTAGAAATCTAATGAAAAATCTTGGTAAAATTCCATATAAGCCATAACATGCAACAGCCTCCCACAGGTTTATGTTTTGTGGTATACAGTGTAATACAAAAGCTACTCCGGAAGGTGTTCAATGAGATTTCAACCAAGTGAGAATTCTTTCCCCCTTATAATAATTTCTGGGGCATACCTCATCAGAAATTTGGGTCAGACTTTTCTCAAGACATCTATATGCAAAGTCCAACTCAGTAAGCGCCTAGAACAGCAGAGTGCAGAGTTATATACCCCCCAAACCCAGCTGTGTGCATAAACAGTGTATATATATCTAAATTTCTATGTCTTTTATTTGATTTCTCAAATGAGTTGGATGTGAATATATGAAATACTTATGTACAGAGAGTACACCTAATTTTGACTATTTCACATGTACATGACTACATGTATTCGGTAAGTCCTACATAAACCTGGCCAATTATTCATAATACTCCTTTCACTTTATTTGCTGAATAGTTTTCATCCTGGATCAAATTACTGTACATACTGAGATAAACACATGAATATACTGTAACTACTGAAAAAACCTTGTATATTGTTTTACGACATTTTTGTTTTATAACATTAAAGTGATGACATTTACTACATAGGGTTGCTATATCCAAACATGCTACAAAACAATTTACAAGACAACAGAAGGGTTATGTTACACATAAGTACACGTACACTAGAAATCTGGAAGGAAGTAAGAGTTTTACAGAGGAGAGGATCTTACTTTTTTTAGGTAATCACATACAGAGAACACAGCATTACTGTTCAAATCCACAAAACACATCACTCACCTCTTCACTGTTTTTGTATTTATCTACATCTTGTTTCAAAGATGCAATTTCATCTTTTGCCTGAAAAGTAATTAATTCTGTATTATCTACATGTATGTGTGAAAAGTTTTCAGCATGCTAATAAAATGTGATATGAGCCAAAGCAAAATTTAATTTCTAATTTCTTTATTCATTTATTTTTTGATTGATCAAATTCTTTCATATGATTTTAGACAGATTTGACCTCTAACCTGTTTTAAAATTCATCATTTGTCCCACAACCAAAATTTTGCTTAACATTAATGATTTTCCAAAAGATATATAATTCATATTTATAATGCACTCAATTTCAGCATACTTTGCAATCCAAAATTTGACAGAAATGGCCTTTTAACATGAAAATAATTTATCTCAGCAAGAGTTATCTCTCTTTTCAAAGGGTCAATGAACCTCAACTCTACAAAGAGAAGACCAATATGACCTCTGACCTCTTTAACTCATTCTACAGTGAGGACAGATTTAACCTCTGACCTGTTTTAAGACAGATTAAACCTCTAACCAGTTTACCTCTATAATGATTAAAAGGACAGATCTGACCTGTTTTAACTCTACATTTGACCTCTGACCTGTTTTAACTCTACAGTGAGGGCCTCTGCTTTATCCTGCCACTTTCTCTCCTCCCCCTCTACACTGTTCTCCAGCTGCTGCAGTTTAGTCTCCTGTGGACAAACACATCAGTGTCACAAAACTTATGTAAAAATTTCAGTTATTTTCTAATGTTGAGTAAATTCAAATGAGAAACAGTGTGGAATACACTTAAAATTTATATGTACATTTATATAAAAGTAAAAAGTTCAGCATTTCTGAAACTGAAGGAATGCAATCAAAGCAGATAGTGATACTAATGACTTCAATCCTGGAAATTATAAACACTATGCTTGAGTGTCAACATGAAAATATAGGGATATCCTTTGCTGTGTACTTACAGTGGTCTGTAGAACAGCTAAGTAATCCTCCACCTGTTTCTGGAGTTTCCTGTTGGCCTCCTCAAGCTCCTGAACCTGGGAGTCATTGCTGCTGCTCTATAAATAGAAACAAGATTTAGAATATAACACCCCCACTGATGTCAATACATTCTTTCAATATTTTCACAGATTTATTGATGTCTATGTATTCTTTCAATATCTACACAGAGAAAAGATACTCATTTTTTCAGAACTTGTGTTGACAACAGAAACAAACCTGGTCCAGTTTAGACTTATACTCCTTATTTTCTTTTTCTAGCTGTTTAACTTGTTCTTGTAAGTCTTTAACTAGATTCTGTGCAGCTGTAATCTTATGAACAGAGAAACAAAGGTAAAAGGTGAGTGCATCATTTAGCAGGAAAATAGTGGACAGACATTACAAAAAGGTGATATAAACACTCCACCAACAGAGGTAGGACAGGATTTCAGGTCTCAAAAATGGAAAAAGATGTGGTATTTCAAATATGTAGAAGTAAGAGGTTGTTGAGTGTTTACCTGTGAAGAAGACTCTGTTTTGCTGTCACCTAATTGCTTCTGTAGTTGTGTATTCTGACTCTCTAATTCTTTCACTCTAGCTTCCAATTTGGCACTCTGAAATAATGGTCACATCAAATATCAGAAAATTTCAATTCCCCATGATATATTTTTCAACAAGTTAAATGCTAATCTTAATTCTTACTTCTGAAACCTTTTTCTTTAGGTCTGTAACTTGCATCTGCAATGAGTTCTTGCTGTCTTCTAATTCTTTTAATTTGGCACTCTGTTAAATGACATTAAAAACGAAATACAAGAGATTTCTGAGAATTAATTCTTCAGGAAAAGTTTGTAAAAGAATTAAGAAAATGGACTTGAAAAATCTTTAAATTTTCTCTGACAGATTCAAGGAAATTTTCCTTACATCATCTTTTTTCTCTAAGGCTGCCTTTATTTGAACTGCAGCTTCCTTTTCAAAGCTGTTCATCCAATCTTTGTGACTCTGAAAATAAACAGTAATATTAAAAGCTTTAATAAATCCTTTTCATAATGTTAAAATTTTTAATGTTCATAGAATTTATACTTGTACATGTTAGCTCAATCCAGTAAAACAAGATACAGCAAAACTGAGAGCCTGTATTGTGTTGCTAAATTACATTCAATTAATATTTCAGTTTTTGCACTCTTTTGTGAACAAAATAATTGCATTTTCTAAAATCATACTTGCCATATAATGTTTTGCCTAGTAACTCACCATTTTATCACTGACAGAAATCTCGGGGAACAACCTCTGTAGTATATTTTTATCATATTTCTCTGTCTCTGTAACCGCCACTGTGCTCTGCTCCTGAAAGAATACACAGGACTTCATAATACTTTTAACAAATTTTGTAACTTATACTTAATAAAATTGCTTTAATTAAATCTCATTTTTTTCTTCTTTTTTTATGAAAATCTTCAATTTAGCAAGACATGTCATGCAATTGAGAATAAAATCCATATTGTTTACTTTTTGTTCTAAATGAAATGTTCTAAATAAAAACTACTGATTTTTATATTATGACTCTGGAACAAAAGTTATCCAAAGAGTAAATCAGAAATTTGGAGAAAAAAAGCATAATAAGCAAAAATACATCTATAGTAATTACCAAGTTAACAAAATAAATAACTCATTGAAATTACATCAGATCATGCACACATATCTTAGCCACTGAAGATTAAATCAAGGAAATCAAATGCAGCATATTTATCAAATCTAATGAATTATATACTGTCAAATCACTAATTTTCACGAGGGTTTAATTTTTGTTGTTTTCAAGGTATGAAGAGATCCACGAATTCATGTCCACCACGAAATGTAAAATTTCATATATACATGTATATATATAACTACTACTCACTTCTCTAACTACAGAAACAAATCCCCACAAACCGATATCTTTCCTAAAACCTCGAAAATTTTACCCCACAAAAATATGTGATTTTACAGTATACACCAGCATTTGTCGACCTTAAAACTTTATCATCCCTCTACATACTGAACCAACATGCAAGAAAATATTTAAATCCTTCAATTTTTTTTAATAACCACCTTAAAAAAAGATTTGTTTACTCACTTGCTGTTACATGCAGAAAAGAAGAGCATTTAAAGCATGGTACATGTTAAAAGATAATGAAGTAAATCAGACAATATGACAACATCAATCTGCCTCTTAATGTTAGCATTCTTCAAAAGCTGATAAACGGACTTTACCTTAACTTCTTTTTCAACACGTGTAATTTTATCTGAGGCTGATTTTTCGGCCTTTTCTAAAGCATCCATAGCTTTCCAATTCTTTTCTCTCAATTCCTACATTAATACCAAGATTTCATCCTTCACAATTTTTAACTGACTTAAAATGAATTTCTTTTTATATTTTAATTATTTAAAACAATCAATGACCTACTTTCATGATCCATGTAGGATCAAAGCTAAAAACAGGCAATAAGCATGATGGCCAGATTTTCAAATTCTTATCAATATTTTTTTCAAATTCTTATCAATTTTTTTTTCATGGATTTCACAAGTTTGGGTTATTTCCCCTAGAATTAGTATGTCGTAAACATTCTGTTTAATGCTTGAGGTACCATGCTACATGCCCCAACTGTGTGACAACCTGATACTTACATTATTCTTTTTCTTCTGAGCTTCAACCTGTTCCAGTAATTTTGCTGCCTCTTTTTTCTGGATATCAACATCACTCTGTAAACTTTGAATAGTCTTATCTTTTTCTGCAACCCTACAACATGATGCATTAAACTTCAGATAATCATACTTTATAATGTCATGTAAACTTCTTTTTTTCATTTTTGAGATTTTGTTAAACAATAATGTATTTACAATATACCATCTAGAAATGTACTGAATTATTGCATTGCAAAAATCTTTTTATAAAATTTCCAATACATTTCATGCCATGTGTCATGATTATTTACGTTTTCTTGTATTCCTCCATGGCATCTTTATATTCCTGTACAGCCTTCTCCTCACTGAGAATGTCACCATTTGGTTTGGCTTTAGGGGCTTCCTGTCCATCACCCAGTGGTCGCTCTCGAATAACCTTAGCTTCCTCTAACAGCTTCTTATTTTCCATCTTCAAGTTCTACAAATTTTGATTTAACATTAAAACATAGACACAAGGCAAAACTAGAAGTACTCTGAGTGAGCTCAAAAAAATGATAATCCCCCCCCCCCCCCCACCTTACAAGTTTTAAAAAAATTGCCCATAATAATTTTACTAAAAGTGACCTTGAACTTGCCAAAATTAACTTCAATCAAGGTTATGAGGTACTCTCTGTTCAACAGTAATCCTTACTTGCAGTATCAACTGAATATATATATATATATATATATATATATATATATATATATATATATATATATATATATATATATATATATATATATATATATATATATATATATATATATATCTCTATATATATATATATCTCTATAAATTCATTTGAAAATTATGAACTAAACAAGAATTTTACACTTCTTCTGCCAATTTCTTTGAACCTACTGGAATGACCTTGGGTCAAGGTCAGGATACATCTTGAGATCACAAGCAATCTTTGTGTCAAGTACGAACTTCTTATGTTTTTCCATTAGAAAGTAAAGGACTGAACACAAAATTATCGGAGTTTTCCAGTGAACTTGCATTTGTTGGAATGATCTTGAGTCAAGGTCATGACAAATCACGAGGTCATAAGCAATCTTTGTGCCAAGTATGGGCTTCCAGTGTTTTTCCATTACAAAGTTGTGTACCAGATATGAATTACACACTTTGTCTGCAATGACCTTGAAATTACTCAAATGTCCTAGATTCAATGTTTTGACATTCCATCAGGGCACATGCAATCTTTGTGTCAGGGCATATGCAATCTTTGTGCCAAGTATGAGCTTCCAATGTTTCTTCATTATACTACATGTATATGGCCTTGACAGGAATCATACATTTTATTAAAGCATTACCCTTAACAAATGATCTTGGGTCTAGGTCACGACATATACATCTTCAGGTCAAAAGCAATCTCTGTATGAAGTATGAACTTCTAATGTTTCTCTATTAAAAGGTTATCAACCGGACAAAAAAATGTGCAGACAATTTTTTTTATTTTCTTCCAAAATGATAGATCCCTCTAGATTCAAATGCTAAATTTTTTTTTTAATTTTTTACATACCTCCAGTTCCTGTTGAAAGTTATTTTTCTGGTTCTCTATCTCTTGCAGCTTCTTCTCTGTTGTCTTTAGCGAGGACTCAACAGAAGCCTTGGCTGTCTCAGTTGTCTACAAGACATTCATTACTCTTCATAATACAACTGAGTTTAAGCAATCATACACTCAATCAACATTCAGGAGTGGTTTCCATAATATAATTTCTTTGTTTTCATTTAACTGATACAGAGAAATATATATATGTACATGCACATGTATATACGTTGACATGTATTTAAAATTTTAAGTTTAATAAGAATATGCACTGCACACATTAAGAAGTTTCCCTAGAATTGGAAATTTCCTGCTAAATTTCTCCGTGCGAGAGTTAAGTGATTTTGGGTCTAGGTTGGTCTTAAATGTTTATGATAATGCTTTAATTTTGTGTCATTTGAGAAAAAAGTGGGACAAGCATATTTTTGGTAGGACAAGTAATTTTACAATGGTAACCTGTCCGATGGCAAGTACTGAAAAATTCTATTTGTCTACCCCTGATTTTATATCTTTTGGAAGCCAAAGTTTGCAGAATAGTAAACACTGCATTTATAATGAGAAACCAAAAAAGTGATTAAAACAAACCTATTTTGTATTTACTGAAGGACAATAATAAGCATGCATTTTTAATAATTTTTTTTTTGTATCATAAGCATTTTATCAGAAACCAATGGAAAATTTAAAAAGAATAGGTATTAATTGATCAAGGAATGATTCTGTGCTTCACATTAGCCAATAATGATGAACTATCTCTAACTCTGTCTTACTTATAAAATAAACATAAATACAAGGTACCTTGAGTTTTTCTTCCAATTCCTTAGAGCTGGCATCATTTCCATTTAAGGCCTTCTCGAGTTCCTGCAGTCTGGCCTTGACCCCGGCACAGTCCTTCTCGGCTGTCTTGAGTCTATCAGCCAGTGTCTTCTTCTCATTCTCACTCTTACGCAGCTGTTGATTGACCTCCTCCAACCTCTTGGTCCACATTCCCTCCGAGTCACTCTGAATTACAAGATGTTCATACATGTGTATCACAACTTTTGTACAGGGAAAGAAGTCGAATTCCTCACATTCTTTTACCATGAATGCACTGGTGCAATTTTTTTTTTTTTAATTTAACTTTATAAAATCATCTTTTCTTTTGTTGGATAAAAAATCAGGTACAAAACAGTACAATACTCTACACAAGGGTACAGCTTCCTACCTCTGTTCCTTTGAGTTTTTTAATCTCTTCCTCCAGCTTGGAACATTTAGACATTGCAGCATTTTTGGCCTTCTCTGCCGAGTTAAGCTTGATCACATTGTTAGACAATTCATTTTCCATGATAGAAACTTTCTGACGAAGGCTGTTAAATTCTGCAGGTGGGATTGCTTCAGCTCTGTAGTGTCAAAGGAAAAAAAATGTATAAATAAAGTTCAATCCCCATCCCCATTCCTCCCCCAAAATAAATCTACTCAATTATACTTTTATATTATGCTGAACAGAAAAAAGTATAATTTGAAAACTCTACAGCATATCATGAAACAATACATGTACATATGAATATATAATTTTATTACTCACTTTATTTTCTCATATGACTCCTTTAGCTTTCTGTTTTCCTACAAATATTAATAGAAATGTATTTAAGACTAACTGAAGTGGTGAAATGTGCTATCATCTAAGTCTCAGTTTCCTCAGTTACAAAAATTTATGTAGTTCAGCCTTATCATACTCAGGACACCTGAAGTATTAAATGTAATATCTTTAAACTCTTTCAAATATAATAAATCCTTCTGAAAAAAAATTGCATTTCATGTGTCAATAAAACACAAATACATATATATAAACATTACAATGACATCAATTTGATAAACTGATTACAAAAATTAGCAGAAAATATGTTTATGGTCATTCAACAATAAACTACCTCCTACTTCAGACAAAACAGCCCAGTGAGACTTGGCCCCCTACCCTGAGACTTGAGATCCTAACCTGAGGCTTGGGCCCCTACCCTGAGACTTGAGACCTTACCCTGAGACTTGGGCCCCTACCCTGAGACTTGAGACCCTACCTCCTTTAACTGCTGTAGTTGGCCCTGGTTCTGGGCCTGTTGCTCTAGTTTGTTGATGTGAGCCTGCATCCTGCTGTTCTCTATCAGGTGACTCTCGTGTGTTGACTGCATACGGGCATGAAGTGCTTGAATTTCCTGGGTCTGGGCCGTTATCTTCTCCTGGTACTGCTGTTCCAAGTTTGTGAATCGAGTCTTCTCATGGGCCAACTCTTGTCGAATTTCCTTAATTTTGTTTGCATTAGACATGGCAAGGTTTTGCTCTGTAATATTTAGCTTGTTTATTAAATTTTCTCACATAGAGTTTCAGCACAAGAAAAATACAATTTTTAATTTCATACAAAACTGCTTTATTTGTGTGAGAGAAATATTAACGAGTCTCAGAATTTTCATCTACTCAATAATATTTCCTGCTGGGAACCATTTCCTGAGTTGCGTATTTATGTGGGTTTCTTCATTTGCAAAAATTAATTCATGTAGTCGTAGATGAAAATGGCAAATAAAAAGGTGATGTAAATATTAATCAATTTACAATACCTTCCTGAAGAGCCCTCTCTTTCTCCTCCAACTGCCTCCTCAACAAAACAATAGGATCCCCCTTCTGACTTTTCTGTGAATATATATGTTTATATATAATTAAATCTAATTTCAGAATGAATAGGGGTCTGTTCGTAAAAATCATTTTCATAATTTCAATTTTTTTTTTATCAAGGGAAATAACTCTTAGTTTTACACACAATGGACAAACAATAATAAAATTGCACTGTTGAGTTTTCATACTTTCATAATAATATAATCAGTTCAGAATTGTCTGATTATGTAGAATTACCTTGTTCCACTCTGTGGAGATACTTCCCCCTCCTCCCCCTCCTTGCTTGTTAAGGAGGATATCAATAAGGGTCTGGGTATCCTGGTCCCCTAGCTGTGCTGTTCTTACAGACATTATCAGGTCGGAGGCATCAATCAATGGTTCTGCAACAGCACAAGTAAGCTCAAATGAATAAGCCTAACTTAGTTCCTCAACAACCAGTTCTTCATGACCCAAAATTTCAGCTGAATAGAGGCGGCTTACGTTAAGGAAAGAGAGTCATCCCCCCCCCCCCCCAAAAAAAAAAAAAAAAATTAACAGAAGTATATTTTCCCAATTGCTTTTAAGATTTCAATGTAAAAATTTTTTAAAATGGATGAAAAATTTTGCTGTCTTTAAAAATATGTGCAAAAAAATAAAATGAATAAATAAATGACAAGAAACAAAAATTTCGACCATCCTGAAAAGTTAACAGACTGAGGCATGTGGGCAGACAGGAATTTAGTACGTTGGTATTTGTCTAAAGCTGCTCTAAGACTTGATAACAGCACATGAAGTAAATACATGTACTACCAAAGTAAATCTACTTAATGACTTGCTGAAATCTATTCATGACTTAACACAGAAAGCTAACTATAGCTGCCCCATCTGCTTTGTTGTCAGCATATTTATTATTTATAACATCATCTAGTAACACAGATGAAAAAATGATTCTGTCAATAAATGGATTCTAACAGCATGATAAAAAACATCATCAAGATTTAAAACAAAAAAAAACCTACATCAGGGATTTTCCACTGCCCCATGTAGGACCAAATATAGGCCCCATTCCCAATTGCAACCCCCCCCCCCCTTTTCCCAAAAATGAACTGCATATGTTCAATCTTTGAATGCACAAAAACTCATCAAAGTTAACAAACATGGCCAAATTTGGAAATCTGAATGAAATGACCAAAATTTTAAGAAACCTGGCTATAACAATTGATCTATTCCCTGATTTATAGTTCTGAATACTAAATAAAAGATCAATTTTATTGATCATAAGTGTTTATTTCTTGAAAAAAAATCATTTATTTCAATAAAATTTCCCCAAAAGGGATAAATGTTGTTAAATTCTCAATTCCAAGGGCCTGGGCCCCATTCCCAAAACTGAGTGGAAAATCTCTGCACATGTTACCTTGGAAAATATTAGGCATTTAATTTATAATTTAATTACAAAAAAATCTATAAAGAATTAAGGTTTCCACTTAGTATGGAGGAAAATAAAGCATTCATATTTCTGGAAAGTATTTATAAATTATTCATATTTATATATCCATTAATTTATAACAATCAAATATGACAACTGGTATTTAAGAAAAACATGATATTTCATACTACAATTATAAATAAGTTAATATTAGTTAAAATAGAAATATAAGCACTTCATTTCAAAGGTCTTAAATGAACTAAAAATATGAATAAAAGTCACGTAAAACACCCATGGTGCAAAACTGGATGTTAAATGATGCATTTCGTAATTTACCTCTTGAATTATTTAGGTCAAATAACCCAATACAGTGTTTTTTCATTTAAATTTGTTATTTGATATTGTTACCTTTTTGATGAAGTAGTAACTTTAATACATGTATGCAACTGGTGCTAAGGCAGACAAGTTAATGATAATTTTAAAATAAAAATAGCTAATGATTGACAGATTTCATGAATCTTTCTATTTTCCAAGTGGTTTTACCACAATAAAATAACTTTAAATAAATCCATATATTTCCCTAAGGTTGAAGATCAATTGATCAAGATAAATCTGGCTTATTTTTGTCTATTGGTCTGAATAAATTTTCGCCACTAAATATAGACAATGCTTACCTTGGACAAGCTTTGATCTCTTTTGTTTGCTTTCTGTTGCAGCAGCTGTGACCTTTGACACATGTTCCACAACAAAATCCTCTTCTACTGGCTTCTGTTTCTTACCAGACTTTGGACTTTCTGGCTTCTCTGTCTTGCTATCTTTCCTCTTGCCCTCTCTTTCATGTTTATGTTTTAAATCCAGTTCATCTTTTGGGGGTGGCTTAAAATGTGGAACTTCCACTGTTTCCTTGGCTATCAGTGGTTTTTCATCCTTATTGGCTAAAATAGATTTTGATGGATGCTTCCTCTGCTTCAGGTTTGGGAGTGACTTGGACGTCTCCAGTGGTACATCAATAGGTTCAATGATCTCTGCCTCAATTTCCAAATTGACCATCTTATGTTCCTTTGGGACTTCCTTAGTCTCCTTTGGGACTTCATCTACTTTCTCTTTCGGTTTGTCTTTCTTTGTTTTACCCCCTTTCTTTTCCTTTTTCTCCTTCCCTGCTTTCTTGTCTCTTCGTGCCTTCTCCTGCTCCTCTTCAAACCTCTTCTTCTGCTCAGCTATAGCTTCTTCATATGACTTCTCTTTTATACCGAAGACAGATATCAAATAAATTAAAATTGCTGACACTATGAAAACTGTCACTCCTATTAAAACCACATGCGGATCCATGTTTATATTCAGTTCTGAGGTAGAAGGGGGCAATGCAGAATGAAACACCTGATTGAGAACAAGTGCATGAACAAACACCACGCCCCTTTTTAATTACGTAGAACAAGTTATTAACTAATAAACTTAAAATTATCCGAAATATTACACAAATAATGAAGTAAAAACTTATGCCGTGACGTTAAACTCAGAGAAAACTGTCTGTTTTCTGTCTATCCATCGAAACCTTACACGCTTATCGTCCACGTCGGCAAGTTGCAGTGTCAAGACCGGGAACACGACTAGCCGGTTTCCAGTTTTTTCCTTTCTCGAAAATAATATCAATCAAAATTCACCAAATAAAATCTTCCTTAAAAGTGTACTAATAATCACACAAATATTAAATGAAATATTTCTTCTCAGAAGCCTTTTGACATTATTTTAGCAGACACTTTTTCACTGTTCTCCCTTCCGTAGCCTTCCATCAATGGTGGCACACCGAACTAACTTCAGAGATGTGTCGAAGTTTTTGATTGGTTAATATGCATTCTCTAAATATTCGTCTGCTACGGAGAACATTTCTCTGTCTGTGAGAAATATCATTCAATACATCTATGCTACACTAATTTGTTCATAAAATGATATGAATTGTCATTTGTTTCTATATGCAATCGTGTTGCAAATAAAATATCCTCTGTATAAAATCCTTAACGTTGATTTGAAAGCGAGGCAGTGTAAAACGCCCTCTGCTGGCGACAAAACGCGCACCTGTTTTAACTGTGCCATTTCTTTGTTGAGATAGCGTTGGTAGGTCTCCGACAAGAAAATGGAAGGCCAGCAAAAGAGGACGTTAGATGAAGCCGAACCATCATTATTAGAAGGGGTTAAGGCTCTAATTGTAGACATAGAAGGAACGACAACGCCTATAGGATTTGTCAAGGTACGAAATCGATGAACTTTGGGTATGCGTGCTTAAATGTATTACTCTTATGCGACATGCTTCTTCCGGCTTGTGCATCAGCAACGAATACATGCCGATGGTAATGTCATGTTCTTATTAATTTTAGGATTCATAATGATCATAACTAAGTATGGATGTCACGCATATTCCATTGTCAAGTGGAAGCTGAATATCTTAAATGGCGCATACTAAAAATCTTAAATCGTTTATAGCATGACTATGTAGTACAGTACAGATCAAAATTATTTACAGCACCGACATTGCAACAGTTCAGATTAGAAGACGGTAGTCTTTAAGAAATTTGGGCATGTATTTGGGAGAAATACTTAAATAATGGATCTCTCCTAATTTTAAATTTCCTGATCTAAAATTTTTATGGGATTTTCTAATTTTAACTGTATAAATTATAAAATAAAAAACAGAGGCCTGTTCAGCAGAGCGAACGTTCGCGAGCGCTTGCGAACATTTCTGTTGGAAAGATAAGGAATTTTGGCGAGCGCTCGCGAACGTTCGCTCTGTTGAACAGGCCTTGATGGTAATGCATAATGCTATTAAAGCAACTTTAATATTAACACCCCCCACCCCCCCACCCCCCTCCATGTACTAATTTATCAAGTTTGTTTGTATGCTAATTTATCGATCAGAGAAATCATAATTTTTAGATTAAGAATTCAGATATTAAAAGCACACATATATTATTTGTATATATAAGTTGTGAACTGTAAATATTGACTAGAATTCTTTGTCATGTGCATACTATTACCTTTTGTCAAACAGTGACATTAAGGCACAGTGGGCTGGGTGTTTAAGTTAATTTCTATACATTCTTGTACTTATAAATATAACACATATGTCGCTATAATAATTAAATTACATACTTAGTACATACTTATTATTGATTGCATTAATTATTCCTGTCCTATATTTCTGAGCCAAGTTTTGAGTAAGCCAAAATAAGTACATGCATGGTATTTGATAATGACTTATAACTGATGAATTCTCCTTAAATTTCTCTTACAGGAAACACTTTTCCCGTATGTAGAAGAAAATCTGGAGAGCTTTCTGACTAAGAGATATGATGAAGATGAAACCAAAGCAGACATTGCTGCACTTCAAGAGCTGGTAAGAAAATCATTAAGCCAATCAAATTATTTTTATTAATTAGTTATGCCCCCCTTTGAAGAAGGGAGGGCATATTGCTTTGCTGCTGTCTGTCATTAGGCCGGTCGGTCCAACAAGTTTCAGTTCATTTTCTTCACAGAGGTTGCACATACTTAAGTGAAATTTGGTATACAGATTTATCATAAGAATATGTTGGTCAAGTTCTGTTTTGGGTACGATCAAGCAATTTTTACAGAGTTATGCCTCTTGGACTTAAAAAATTCCAATTATTATTGGGGGTGGGGGGGAGGCATAAGTGTTTCACAAACATCTCTTGTTTTGAAATAGATTTGATGTCAGAATTTTTCATTTTTTCATTTCGCTGTTGTGTTTGTGATGAAAAAAAAAATACAAATCAAGAAACAAGTATTTTGATTATGTACATGTACCTTTAAAGGATAAAAACTATAGCTGCTTTTTAACAAGTATATGGCTTATAAATTTTAAGGCTATAAAAGAAAAGGCTGATGATCAGGAAGGAGTGATAGAAATTCCTAAGGAAGGCTCAAAAGAAGAGATCATTAAGGCAGTGGTAGCAAATGTCAAATGGCAGATGGACTCAGACAGGAAGACCACAGCTCTCAAACAACTGCAGGGGCACATCTGGAGGGAGGGGTACAAGACGGGGAAAATTAAGGCTGAGTAAGTTTATCACTCTCTGATGTCTACTGTCTTACCCCCTTTTAACCTCGTCTGAGCTAAGGGCTCAGGTGGGCATTTGTAATGGTAGACAGTCAGAGGTGAAACTGATATCCGTCATTCTGAAAATGATTGGATAATTGTCATGTTTACTAACCATGGTAACTACGTTTTTTGTCATTTTTTTCAATATTATGACTAACTATCGTCATAATTTTATTTTCCACTTTATTCTTCTACCCCAGTTTTATATAAGCAAGTTTCGAATTTAACTCTGAAAGAAGAGTGTTTACACAAGTTTCATTTCATCCGGGTCACTAATTTCTGCTGACCATCCGCCTTAGAACATCAACATAGAACTAAGAAGGTGAAAGTTGTTATTTTAAAGTGTCAAATTTTTAAGGTAGAACTAATTCGCTACTTTCACATGGCTTTTAACCCGATAATAACATATAGTACACCATCTTGCAATATACGTACGTGTAGAGAAATGTCTTGACAATAAATTTAAACAATAAAAAATTAGTGTGCCACGTGAAACAAGGCAGATATTTCAGTGCGTCCGGACCCTCTGTTTGGTCAAAAGATGAAATATAGTCATTCTTTACTATTCTGTGTAAATAAATTGACAAATAACTTTTCCACTCCTCTTTTTGCTTGTGAATTTGTCACTGTCAACATAATAAGTATTGTAGTCAACTATATTTGAGAATTGAAGTTTGTTTACAATGTTTTCTTTCCTTTTTTTGGTTGGTGGATCTAACATTTTTTAAAGAAAGGTAACTTAGTATTCTAGAAACACTCAAAATTTTTGTGACTCTTTCATCATTTTCTTACAAATGATGAGTTTTAGTCATAATAAAAGATTAATTTTATGACTAGTAATTGTCATTTTCAAAATGACAGATTTCAGCATCACCTCTGACTGTATGTCAGATATATGTCTCTTTTATGATGTCTGTAAACTTTGCATTTTTATATATACTTTAATTACTGCAGAACAATTTGACCAGTTCAAACTAAAATTGCATGTTGAAACTAAATGTCTATGGGAGAAGGGGATATATTCAGGGTTTTCAAGGAGAGAATTAGGAAACTGTGTAAATAGCATTTAATAATTTTTTAACTTCAAGAAAAAGTGTGCTAGAAAAGAGAAAATCTTTAAGAATCATTCTGTCAAGAGCAATATTACCACAATTAGTCATTATGCAAACAGCCCCATGTACACTGTACTGTAGATTTAATCTCAAATCCTGGCATAGAGAATTTGGCAAGCCATAATGGTGGTGCAGGGGAGGAGGTGTCATTGGAATATAAAGGGGGAAGCTTCACCACAACTGCAGAACAATTGGTCAAATTGTGAATTCAAGTATGCAGCATACCAGATACTGCAATTCAAGATTTTTTAATTCATGTCCCAAGGGTCAGATATTGACTTGTCAAATTTTTACACAATATATCAAAAGTAAAGAAAATATATCTTTAAAAAATATTTTTAAACTATAAGGAACAGAACGGCTATAACTAGTCAAATGAATATGCAAGCCTTTCTGTGTAGATTTGAATCAGTTTTGTTCCAGTAATGGTCCCTGAGGTTAAAAAAAAGTGTGCCAAAATCTTGCAAACTGAATTTTTCAAAGAAATTCATCAACATCCACATGAACAATTAGATAATTTGACAACTTGTGATCAAGCTGTGTTATACTGTTTTATATACAAATAAAATGTTTGAAATCAAAGACATTTATTTCATGACCAAAATAAAGGATTACATTTATAAAATGACAAATTCGTATATAACCAGAAAAGAAAGATGGCACATGTGAGTGATGTGGTCCATGGGCCACTGTCGCCACTTGTTTATAGTATTAAATGTGACCTTGTACTTTCATACACAACTTCCTCACTTTCAAAAGTGACTTCCCACTTCCATAGCTTTACATACATGTATTATTGAATGAATACGTAATTTAATATAAAAAAAAAAAAAAAAAATCTGAAATGATAAAAATTATTTGAAAATGCAACAAGTATTATGAGAAAAAGATATATTTCCCAAATGTTTGTAAAATGTCAGTGTATATTTTTTTTCCCATATGGATGAAAATGGCTGCTTTAAAAAACAGAGATCAAAAACATTGCTTAGATTTCTGTGGGTTTCCCCTGTAAAAAGTTAGTCCCTGGGTAAGATGATGGACAAAATTTTGAACCCCTGTGCATGCATATAGTTTTTTTCCATTATGTACAGGAATTTTTTTCTTCTGGTGACATTCATATGTTTCTGTAGATTGAATTATTTTTTTTTTTTTACATTTTAGACTGTTTGAAGATGTGGGTCCAGCCTTACAACAGATTGTAGAAGAGGGGATCAATGTTTATGTGTACTCCTCGGGGAGTGTCGAGGCCCAGAAACTGTTGTTTGGGAACACAGAGGAGGGGGACCTACTAGAGGTAAGATTATGGGGTCCACAAGGGGATCTTTATTACAGGGAATTTAGGCTGTAAAGGCCAGCAATTCTGCATCTCAAAAATGCAATTGTATAGGTTGTCTCTGTGGTCAAATGGTGAATTAAGGAGAGTGTAAGAATGACAAACATATCAGTATTATGACAAAGTATGTCATAAAAATATTTATCTATAGTAGATAAATTTCAGATGAAAATTGTTTACTTGTGATAGATTTTTAAAAACAGTTCATGTTTTCTTCATTATTTGTCTAAGACAGTATTATTCTGCTCAGATATAGCTGATTAAGCTGTTGATCAGTGGCTAGTGGGATCCTGTGATGTTTTTCTTCTGAAAGCATTTTTTTCCCTTTTCAGCTCTTTACAGATTTTTTTGACACAACAATTGGTAGTAAAAAGGACTCGGCCAGTTATAAAAAGATAGCAGAGAAAATTGATGTAAATCCAGAGGAGATCTTGTTCCTAACAGACATGCCAGATGGTATGGAGAGTTTTTCTGATCAAATTAGAAAATGTAGATAACAATGCATTGATTTCATATACTGAGAACCATATATACTTGACTGCATGTATGTGTTTATATAAGCCACTAGGTAACATGGTACAAACTGCAACCCCCTGACAGTGGCACAACCCACTAATACCAATACCTGGTTTAATATTGAAAGACTTTCTAAAGATGGGATAAAGTGAACTTTTTTGTTAGAAAAAGAAATTGTAAAACTTCTTATTCATGAGTTTATCTTATTCTTCAGAGGCCACAGCAGCCACTCAAGCAGGACTCAGAAGTGCATTAGTGGCGCGTGACGGAAACGAAGAGTTGACGGAGGAACACTTCCAGAACTTCCTGGTCATCGAGTCGTTCGGAGAATTGTTTGGTGATGATGATGAGGACTATAAACGTTTAGAAGGTGAAGACAATGGCGAGGTGGATGATGATGAAGAGGAGGAGGAGGATCTCGGGGAGGAGGAGGAGGAGCCAGAGGATGAGGACGACGATGATGAAGATGACGCTTAGGCAATGACTGGTCTGATGGTCACTATACATGGGCAAGTGCAAACAGAGATACGTGTCAGGTTCCCACTCCTTCAGATGTGTAGAAGTGTGTGTGTATTGTAAATTTGTAGAATGACTGTGTCCTCCTCAGGGCCAAATGCTGCTGTTTAATCGGGCTATTCCTTTAAGACAAGTGTTCATGTGTGAAGCACAGTGTGTACATGTCAGTTATTAAAAGAGGTGAAAAGAGGGGTGTTACAATTTTGTCTTTATGGAATAGTCAGATATGATTGTAAAACCAATTTTTCTTTTTTCTAGTACTACATTTACCTGAAAAATGGTGTACAGTTGATAGAATGAATGATGAAGTTCTATTCATCTTTGATTTATTGTCATTTCATTGCTTTGTTAAGTATATGGTAAACAAGTAAAGTTTCAATGTGTTACTAGTTATCCAAAGTACTGTGGTTTATATGTGAAAAGGCAGCAATGAGACGTGTTATATTAAATGTTGTAAGAATTAAATGCTTTTATAATTTATGTGTTAAAAGCAACTGTGTTAATTGTTAATACATGCAAAAATCGACAAAACCATGTTCACATGTGTACCTTTCATATGAAATGTAAAGCAAATCACAAATGAATGAAAATGTAAATTGTCTCTGAACATATTACTGCTAAATCCAAGCAGATAATATGATCATGTGGAATTAAAAAGTAGATGAGTGAGTTGTTTTGTATTGTCTGGATACCAATATATCAGATTTTGTTAGTTCATTATAATTTTTTTTAGTTTTGGAAAATTTGCTGTACAATTTATTTTGCTTTTACTTTTTTATACAGATATTAAATGGCAAATTTTGATAATGTGCTTAACTTTTGACTACTTTTATTACATGTAATTAGTACTTTATTAATGAAAAGAAATGTTGCAATGAAATCATTTTTACAGAATATTTTAAATCTCATATCAATTACAGCAATGTTTCCCACCCATTTTATCAGAATAAATAATTGTAGATTATAGAAATCTTTATTCATTAATTTGATTATGCTCTAGATACAATGCCACGAAATTTGAAATGGGGAGGGGGATTAAGGGAGTTTACCTCTCTTTGTTTGTTTATTTATTCCTTAAGCCATATGGCTTATCTTAGGTAACTATTAACCGGTGCCCTTGGGCAGCACAAATGTATTTCTGAATCTAGGTAAGAAACTGACAAATTTAAATTGGTAATTTGCTTGTAGAAAATCCTGAGGTGGTTCTTTATTGATTTTTCAAGGTCGAAGATTATGAATGCAAAAGGGGCATTTATTCCAAAATTATATTGCATGCAAGAATATGACATCACAGAATTAGATTGGAAGTATTGCATGGAAGAATGTGCAAGTATTGAAAGCTGTTTAAGTGTTAAAGAATGGATCTGCTCAAAATGCAATTTCACTTAACATGGAGAGAGAATGTATTTTGGAACTAGGAATTGAGAGTACAGAAAGTTTCTAAGGAACTTCTGCATTGGTTAATTGTCTAGAAGTTTTTAAAGAACAGCTGAGCAAATGACATTTGTTTTATAAATAGACAATACTAGCAAGATTAAGTCTCTGGTCTTCTCTTTTATATATAATGTAAGCACAGGCTTTATCGGAGTTAAGGTGCATGGGAATTCTGGTGTACTGGTTCAAATTCCCCCTTGCTTCATCACCTTTAGACAAGAACATGAAGGCATCACAAACAAAAAAAAAAAGCTGGGGCAGCTAGAGGGAGCTGCTCCCACTGCCCAGGTAGTAGAAATATAAAAGGTGAAGACCATCTCATAAATGCAGTAAAGAATATAAATCAACAATAGGGCAAAAACACTGGTCCCTGGAAACACCATACCAGAGGTGGGATCAGGTGCCTAGGCATCCACTGTTGACGGGTCACACTGCTGTGAGTCATATGTATTGATCAGGTAGATGGGGTAATCTGTAGTCAAATTCAGTTTTTAAAAACAATGACCTAACAATTGGTATGAAATATGTCAAACAAAATATGCCTCAACGAAAGAAAGGTTGTATTTGCAAACAGAGTCATTATTAATTAAGGACCGCAGAATTTGCGAAAAGCTTATTTTAAATGTTTTTGAAATCCTTACATGTAAAACCTCAACTTATTTGTCATTAGCTTGTCTCGGGTTAGAAATTGCACGTACTCGGAGCATGCTCTTGTGTATCGAATCATTTGGGAGGCATAAACACCATATGCAGGTGATATTGGAATATTGCTACATAAATAAGGAATGTTGACGATGGAAAAGCTGAATTCATCCTGTTTGTCATACACTTCAATAGTTATTAGCTGGTCATTGTCGTCTATGCGCATGGTCAGTAAGTGAGTCGCACTAGTACAAGACAACAAACTGAACATATGATGATAAGTGACTTGTAAAATACTTTATGTATTTATTTTGGGTACTTTCTAAAAGATGTGGGCCCTCCATCACAGCCACGTCTTCTCTCAGAAATGAGTACCTTTTTATCCAAGTTGCAAGTTTGAAGCAATTAAACAAATTACTTAATTGAAATGATCGCGCGTAAAGAGTGAAAATTCTTGTGATGAGAGAAGTACATTCCGGCTTTCTGTGGTGGGTTGCAAATAAGTGTCGCTTTCCTGTTCTGGTTCTAAAACTCGCACTGATTTCTTTTTAAGTAATGAGTACGACATAAAAAAATATAGTCCTTGAATTAATTACATGAAATATGTCCCAACAAAACTTTAATCAGGTTCTAAAACTGCAACTCTGATATGTGTAAGTGCTGCGACAGGGTTGGAGGAAGAGGGGCGGGGGGCACATGAACAATTTAATTTAATTTGATTTTAATTTGTTCAATTTAATTTGTTTATTTACCAATTAAGGGCCCTCATGGGGCAAAAAGAACAAGATATCGGTTTACAAATTGAATTGAAGATATTAACCTCGACTTGAACTGGCAAGAAAAAAATAATCTGACCAGTGCTTTTACAATATATTTTGGAATCATTTTAGAAATCAGAAGATAATTTTTGTAAATATCAGAGAGAGAGACAAAAAATGAGGAACGCGTGCATGTTCGTCAGACCTTAACTAGAACATGTTATGATAAATCCGATTTTTAAACGTTGAAATCAGACTAATTTACCATTCTTTTCTAGACTTTTCTAGACACACTAAATTTAAGCTGTAAAAATTTTGAAAATTGACCTGCTTCCTGGGACTCCCCTACCCCCCCCCCCCCCAGTAGAATTTTCATGATGAAATCCTCACTTTAAACAATTAAATTTAGACTATTTCAATGTCACTCTCCTTTTTCTGGACACCCAAACATATTTTGTTCAAACCGGGGAGGGGGGGGGGGGCTTCATCAACTCCGTTTAACAATTGTCACACTTGAATTTTTTTCGACAAGCCCCAAAACAAAGTTTCTCTATGTACACTGGCTTTCACATCAATCACCCCTAGATACAAGTATACCAGTGATTCCACAGGCAGTTGTTTTTGTTTTTGTTTTTTTTGTAATATTTTTTTAACCCGATAGTAAGATGGGGTAAAAATTCATTACAGAAACAAGCACCTGTGCTAGCCACCAGTTAGTAAATTTGTTCAATCATGCACATTGTTACAGTTTTTCAAATTACCTCCAAAAATAATAATTAAAAAACATCCCCCCCCCAAAAAAAAAAACCACACACACTCTCAAAAACAAAACAAAACAAACCCCCCCCCCCAATAATTGATAAATTCAATAACAATCAAGAGGTGATCAGGTAATTGGGGGGAGGGGGGATTCTTACTCAATATTTATCTTTTTTAAAATTGCTTCTCAAAATTAGTTTTCTTTTACAAAACGTTGCGCCGTCCTTTACTAATTTAGAAGACACACAAATACGCACATACATATATAAACTCATAAACAATCATACACAAATATATACATATAAATATACATACCAACATGCACACCCACAAATTACGTTGGGGGATAGGGGTGCATGGGACACGTACGTACATTCGTGTTATTTATGTCTCTCGTTACGCAATTAAAATATCATTCAAACTTTTATATTATGACATTGTTATTGTAGAATATCAAAAGATATTCTGAAAATAGAAAAGAATATTGCAATTTAAAAATACGTTTATCTATAAATTTGCAAGGGCATATGTAACCCTAGATCAATTCTCGCGTTCATTGAGATTTGAACGGGAATTTCAATATGGCTGCTAAACAGAGATGGAAAATCGAAAATAACATAGTTTTGTGTTGTTTAGTTATGATATAAAGAATCATGACTTGAAAGAAGTAGGAGAAATTATTATACAGTTTGTTAGGGGCTTTTTAGGATGGGATCCCATATTTTTGATATTCTCAGACAGGGAATATGGGCTTCCGTCACAGGGGGATGGTTCTTCGACCCATATCAAAATATATTTTCGAATACATTTCATCTGTATGTGTGGATGGGACTCCTGGTTTTTCCTTTCATTCTTTACCTGGTTTGTATTTTTATATGGTGTGTCTGATTTCAATTTTTAATAAACGTTTGTGTGTAATCGTGTTTGTAAACACGTAGTTCTAGATCTAGAAAACTTCCTCTTCAGATGAACTTGTTATTGTTTAGGAAAAACAAAGTTTAAAAGACACAGCAATGAAAAGTGTATACTTGGTATGATCAAAGATCGTATAGCTATAAACTATGTTTTTTTCTTTTATTAATAATATGCAGCAGACAGCATCAGCCGATCAGGATCCTTATGACATAGGCACTAGTCATTTATGATATTATCACATGCCCATTTACTATATGTAGATGTCTTATTTAATTAATTTTAAAGGCATACTGCTGGTAATCCGTCAACTTTCTGCAAAGTTTAAATTGTGCTAAGCAGGTTTTTATTTTTGTAGAAAATATGACATTGAAAAAAGATAATTGATTTATCATGTCTATTGTTTTTATTTTTTTTTTAGAAGAATTTAAAGATATATATTAAAAAAATGCAGTGCTTTTCATAACATCTAAAGGTTTTAGTAACTTAATGAAAGGCAAGCTAAATGTAATATTTTGAAAATACAGAAACTCTCTCTCTCAAAAAAAAAAAAAAAAACAACAAAAAAACAAAAATACTACCTCACTATCTAGTCTTATGGCTCTTCACTGTCCCCATTGTAAACAACTGACATAATTTTTAACTTGAATCATCTTTGCAGACATTGGAATCATCTTTAATTGTTTGGACAATCTACTGTGCCACAATAGGAGTGTTCTTTACTGTGATAAAGCTCGTCAACTTCAAACTTCATCACATATTTGACACCAGTGAGGTTATAGAAGACACACCCAAGGGAGATAAGTCAGAGGACAAGGATAGTCATGTGATAGAACTCTGGTAAGTTTTCTGATTATTCAGTTAATTTAGCAATTGTAAAAAAAAAATATTCTTATAAAACATTGAGGCATATTCAGAGTTTGGTCTATGCTTAAATGATTTTATTGTGGGTTGAATTTATAAATAGTATCCAACTTTGCGTTAATAGCTGCATTTAATTTTTCAGTAACAATGCAAATGAACCTGAACACATTGAGATGGTCAAACTTCATCACTCGTCCTCCCGACAGCTGGATAGTGATAATAACAATAGTGACCGCATCATCAGCCATTCCAGTGTGGAGATCAGAAGTGAGACATATATCATTGCTAGACTGGGAAATTTATAAATAATTTATGAATGAATATAATTCTTAGCAGAAGCTAAAATAGACCCATATTGCAAATTCAAAGAAAAATACTTGTGAATTAATTATGGTAAACAACATTTCAAATAATGCTCTTTTTTTCATACACTTGATATTATGATGAACAATGGAATATAATTGCAGCAGATTTTATGTTAGCAAACTTTAAATAGCACTTATCTTATCTTTAAATATGATTATCAACAGATATAATAAATATACATGTCTGTATATGTATATTTAGGTGGGTCTGCACCTCTAGCAGAGTTGGAGAATGATGACATAGATCAAAAACCCACAAAACAGAGAGAATCCACCCCACCAAGCAGTAAGTTATTTGTAAAAAAAAATGTTTAAGTAGATTTATTAGTAAGTTTAAATTTTGGATTATTAAATTATGTTTTCATATGATTGATGAATGACTGTATTGTGCAGGGACTTTTGATCATTTCCTATTGATATGATTGGAAGGTGACAATATTGTGAATTACCAAAATTACTGACTGTTAATTTGGTTGATAGGTGATAGTAAATGTGGAAAGTACTTTGATCATGTTGATTGTTGATTTGGTTTTACGTGTGACAGCACTGTGGAGGGTACTTGATTAATATCTAAAGAGTTGGTTGACAGTTAACAATTTAGTGATTTGTCCTTTGCTTATTAACTTGATTATTTGATAGGTGACAGTATTGTGGAAGGCAAATTGGATGTGGAGAGAGGATGTCATCCACATCAGGTCACATTGAAAGCAGAGGTGGAGGTCAACAGAGAATTGTCAGATGGAGAGATGGAAATAGGAGAGGTCAAACTTCCACCCAAAAAGGAGGACACAGATTCGGATTTATCTCCAGATGGAGGACTCCGAATTCGGAAACGTCGAAAGGCTGTGAGGCGGAGCAAGAGCGCTCTGGATTACAGTCCGGATTCCCCTGTACCACGGGCAGCTAGAGCTTTTGAGAAATTAGACAGATCGCTTCCTGCTAATTTATACACACAGGTAGAAATGGAAAAAGAAAGTGAAGAGGCAGCGAGCTCAAAAAATGGACAGGGAGATGTAGAATTGGAGGATTTGGAAGGTATGGATGAGGGTAGAGTGTCCCCATATAAACAGAGGGTGCCCAGTAACAAAGCATCCCAGCGGCTCCAGAAATATAGAAGAAGTTACTCTGCGGATGAAGGAGTACCACCGAGACCCACCACACCACCGCTCAGAGAAGTGTTTGACTCAGGTTTGAGAAACAGATCAAGAACAGAATCAAAAGAAAAATCAAGTAATAACAGTTGTGAACCTTTTCCAGAACTTGTCAAATTCCATGCTCCGGACATCTTAGCTGACCTACCTGGAGGTAGTGGTGATAAAATATCACGAACTCCAAAGGTCAGCGACAGTGACAGATCCGATATAAGTGTCGGGGAAATTAATGTGCAGGTGAAAACAAGAGACAGAACTCCCAACAAAAAGGATCGTCCATCTAGTGCTGGAGATATCAATAGAATTAGTACCGGTGTCTCATTGGACCCAAGTCTGACTACAAAGAGTGCTTCCAAATCCACAAGATCAGGTGGGATTGGTTCTAAGATAGTGAAATTTTTCCAGAATGGTGGGCACTCTAATTCTCAGGAGATTGCTTCTGAGCAGAGTAGCACAGTGGGACTGGAATGTCTGTTTAGTACTGACAGTGACTCAACAGAAGGTATGGTGAAAAGAAAAAAGTTTTTACATGTACTTCATACTAAATGAATATTTAAACCATTAATCATTTCTGTCATGTTTTAAACATCAGGGATTGTATAGGTACCTTTGAACTTTGAACAACTCAAACACAGATAAACTGAATATCGAAGATTTATGGGAGTATTTCCATGGTTCCAACTATTTAATTAATTAATTTGAATTGTAATTTTAAATATCTCTAATCCCTGAAACTTGGATATTAATCTAAACTAAGCTACATGTATATCAAAGTTACATGTGAGATACACTCTTATTTAATTGTAGGGTCTTATGTTGTCTAGCAGAATTATTATGTTTAATTTTCTAGTAGAAAACAAGGATGTAGAATTATCCTGAAAAAAAAGTTACACATTTTTTAAAAATTACATAGCAAATGCCTATTGTCCTAAGTGTACTTACAAAAAAATTGTATTTCCAAAAAAAATCTAATACAAGTTTTGATTAATTAACAGATGACAGTAGCCATCCAAAAGATCACTATTTAACCGACTCATCTAGCTCTATGACCAATGAAGGGGAGAGCACTTTTGATACCAGCCCAGAACACCCACCAATGCAGTCTCGACTTTCTGCCAAGGAGAAGTCAAATCCTTATGAGGGGTCAGATATTGCCCCAAATAATCCCAGTGAAACAGATCAGGCTTCATCAGGATTAAATGTGCTGATGGTAGCTGAGCATCAAGACATTCCACCACCCATGGATCCACCGATGGAAGATAAAGAACTACAAATACTGAAACAGCAGGGGGCCATTCCAAAAAACTATCGGCGGTCACAGACTGGGCAGTGTACAGAAGTTGTTCCATCCCTACTATCTAGTCAGGGTATCTGATTAATTAATATCAGTCTAATTTGTCTATCAATCTAATTATCATACAATGTATCATTACACATGAATGTTTATGTTTTTTTTTTTGCCCTTATGTTGCATATAATATATGTATATTACTCAGAGTGACTGGATTGAATTTGTTTTTACAGATCAAGCAGGAAGTCCCTCCTCGGGGGAGCTGTCAGACACAGAAGATTTCCGTCGTAAGATTTTGGAGATACTCAGTGACTCCACAGACAACCCAGACAGAATGAAGAAGTTATTTAAAGCAGTGATAGAGGCCAAAGGTAATGTATTAAGTACCCTTATTCAGTATGCTCTATGCTCTTCCCCCCTGGATATACCCCTTTTTAATTTTCAACCCCCCCCCTCCCCCCCCCCCCCACACACACACACACACATTTGGCTATAAGATAGTAATATTTTATTTAAGGTCAAGATCTAGTAAATGAAAGGAGCCTACAGATTTCTCAAATTTGAGAAATAAATTCCTTTAATGATATTTTATAACTATAGCTTGGTCAAATAAGGTGTATCGGGGCATAATTTGTAGATAAACGAGACGAAAAATCATATTTTAAACTGTCATTTTCAATGAAAAATTAAGAAAACCAGTCATGAATATGGGAGTTTTTTTCCATATCAGACAAATGGAAGGTATCCAGATTGCCTACAGTCTCTCAGAAAATGGTAATTTGTGTGTTCTTAGCCTCTTCTTTAAAATAGAATCAAATTAAATATAGGTATCGGGATTAATTTTCACATGATTTCAAATTGAATTCCATGAAAGTAATTTATTTTCTACATAATTCTATTACCGCCGTAAAGTACGGGAAAAATAAAGTTAAAATTGATTATGATGTCATAATGGATCTAGCACCAAAAAGACAGTCTAAAGTCATTTACTAGATCTTGACCTTAAGTAGAGGTGATGGACCATTCCATTTTTACCTAAGCATCTGACAATTTATATTGACACTCCAGCAGATTCTCTCAGATTATGTTAAGAAGGGTAGTTTCCCCTGAAAACAAACTTAAAATCTTGTTGAATAAATCAGAGATGGGAATTTTCCATGAAGTATCCAGTGATCTTAGACAAATTTAACTTTTAGATTTAGAACAATAACTTGTATATAAATGTGTATGCATATTTTCATACAAAAGAAAAGAGTAAGGTATGTTTGCGAAATGCTTTATATTTGATATAGGTAGTTTTGTTTTGTTACAGATCGCCGAGGGAGCAATGACTCACCTGGGCAAGGAGGGTCTCAGAGAAGTACGTACAACATAACTAGCTTAGAATCCGTTTGTAGCACAGTCAGAAACTTTGTGCAAGACATTCAAATATTTCAACATCATGAATACTATTACAGATTAAACTCTTTCCTGTTTTGTTTTTTAAAAAAAAAAAAACATGTTAAAATCTGAGTATCAAGTATATCTACTTCAAGGAAAAAAACTAAATGTATGTAAATCACTTTTTATTTGTGAGAACTGTATTTTAGTGCAATTATGCGAGATGATCTGCTTGTGAAAATTTCATTCTCGCGTATCTTTTTGTTAGTTTAAATTATGTACAACAATAGTCAGAATTCATGAAAATTTTGTCTCACTTATAAATACCCAATACCTTACTCGCGAAAATAAGGTGTCATGAAGATAAGTTGATCTAGAGTAGTCTAAAATGAATATAATGTGATTTCTATTAGGAGCATTCTATATACATGTATATTTGATGTGACTTGTACATGTATGTATTTTCAACAGCTGCTGTTATAAAAAGAACTTTTTTGCTAACTGGTTACATTGCAAATCTGCCTAATCTGATATTTTTACATGCTCACTGTGAATTTTAGAAAAGGAGGAGAAGACAGAGGAAGGGGAGATAGCAAGGCCCACCCCTGGTGATGACCAGGAGGCTCAGTCCTCCAAATCTACCACCCCCACAGAGTGCTGTGCTCTCCTTCCCGTATCCAAAGAGATTGAACCAGCTCAAACTCAATCCACAAAACTCAACAGGTCAGTCAATAGAACAAGTGTAAATACGTAATAAACTCAATCCACAAAACTCAACCAGTCAGTCAACAGTAGAGGTATAAATATGTAATTAACTCACTAAACTCAACAGGTCAGTCAAGAGAGCAGGTATAATTATGTAATAAACTCAATCCACTAAACTCAGTAAGTCAATCAAGAAAGCAGGTATAAATACGTGATGTACCTAGAATTTCACGTGTAAATGTTTGGTATGATGTATAACTAGATCCCATTTATAGGCAATGGAAACATCCACAAAACACACAGTTATGTTGTTATTGTATTCACAATATACAGTGTATATCTTATCTTTATTATGTGTATGAAAACGTATTTTTGGATTGACAGGAAAAGAGGGCGGAGAAGAAGAGGAAACAGGAGTCTAGTGCGGAGGGACACGCCCACAATAAAACCCCCCGCAGGAAGCTCCATCCACTCAGCCAAAGACCACAATGATACCAGTGAAGGGGCTGTGCACTGGTTTCAAGATGAAAATGGTTTGTGTATATAATTGCAATAATTGTGCTAATTTTTTTTCTACAGGATATAATTTGTGCATATATTAAAGTTCGTTGACCCTCTGATAAGAGAGATAGCTCTCACTGGGATCAGTTGTAAAGGTAAAGGCCATTTATGTCAAATTTTGCCATGCAAAGCATGTTGAGATTTTGTGCATTTTATCTAAGACTTTGATTTCTTTTGGAAAATTAAAAGCATTACAGCAAAATTTTATGTGAGTGAACAGAGGGACAGTGGACCTAAGTATGAAGTTGGTGTGTAAATCAAATTCTTTTAGCATACTATTCACTGATTATTGAATTTTCAGCTTTATCGAAACTGTAAATACATGTTCATTAAACTGAATGTCGCACTAATTAAATTCTTCCTACATGTATACTGTATTGTTCAGTCATATATATGTACATGTTTAACACCTAAACTGAAATTTTTGCTGTGTAAAGTAATCTGCAATAAGTTTGTGACCCTGTTTTCAGGTCAGTGGTTTGGTTACACATTTGAGGAGAACAGTGCTGGGGTGGCCTTTGTGGCTGAGGACCTCCCAGCTCACATGGATAACATGTTAGACAAGAGGTAAGCTGAGGGGTTTATTTAGGGCATTTGTTCCTTTTACTGACAATTAATTTCCATTCTATAAGAATTGTCCATTCTCTCAGTAAATTAATTTACATTCAACCTCTATATTACCTAAGCATTAGGCCATAAAAAATTAATTAATAGTTTCTCAGGCCAAAAATTTCAAAATTCAATGTGGCAGGCAGGTTTTCTTTTTTTTTTTTTTTTTGAAGCAGGTGTTATACCTTTTCATGTTAGTCATTCAACAAAATGATGATATTAACTGATTCTTACTCTTTTTATTCTCTTACATCAATTAAAATATATATTTAACTTTAAATAATGTTATTCCAAACAAAGTTAATTCATAAAATACTGTATTAGCAAGAACTGTACTGTTTGTCTAATAAACACCTCTATCTATTAGCATTTATGAAAAGGAGAGTAACTCAATTTTCTTGTTCAACTTTGAAAAATAGAAAATTTGAGTTATTTCCCTTTTCAATATGTCGATAAAATTGATCAATGCGGCAGTGTTTGACCTGATGCGGTGGTGCCTGAGAAACTATTGATTAATTTTTTTGGCCTTAGATGGAAGATAAGTTTAACACATGTATAATGTAGTTAGATTGAACTGGCTGAAGATTATCATACTTGTATGCTTAATGACTTAGTAAGATACAGTAAAAGTCTGGCCTTGATCAGATTGATCTCCGTTCCTTTGATAGTTTAGTTCTTTTCTGTGGTAAATTTGAAATTTATCTTGTTATTAATAGCTCACCTGAGCTGAAAGCTCATGTGAGCTTTTCTGATCACCCGTTTTCTGTCGTCCGTCCGTCTGTCTGTCCGTCCGTCTGTAAACTTTTCACATTTTCAATTTCTTCTCACGAACCAGTGAGCCAATTTTAACCAAACTTGGTTCAAAGCATCCTTGGGTGAAGGGGAGTTAAAATTGTAAAAATGAAGGGCCAAGCCCCCTTCCAAGAGGAGATAATCAAGAAAAGACAAAAATAGGGTGGGGTCATTAAAAAATCTTCTTCTCAAGAACCACTGGGCCAGAAAAGCTGAAACTTTCGTCGAACTATCCTTGGGTAGTGTAGATTCTAAATTGTTCAAATCATGACCCCTGGGGGTAGGGCGGGGCCACAATAGGGAATAGGGAAGTTTTACATTGAAATATGTAGAAAAAGTCTTTAAAAATCTTCTTCTCAAGAACCACTGGGCCAGAAAAGCTGAAACTTAAGTGGAAGCATCCTGGGGTAGTGTAGATTCTAAATTGTACAAATCATGACCACCCGGCGGTAGGGCAGGGCCACAATAGGGAATCCAAGTTTTACATTGAAATATGTAATAAAATCTTTAAAAATCTTCTTCTCAAGAACACTGGGCCAGAAAAGCTGAAACTTATATGGAAGCATTCTGGGGTAGTGTAGATTCTAAATTGTTCAAATCATGACCCCTGGGGGTAGGGTGGGGCCACAATAAGTACTACAAGGGGGGAAATCAGGTGAAAAACAGCAAGGCCAAAGTTACTCAGGTGAGCGTTGTGGCCCATGGGCCTCTTGTTTTCAGTTGGACTAGCAGTGACGGTTCTGGTAACGATGATTCTGGCTCCACGGTTATCCTAGACTCACCATCAGGAGCCAAAAAAGATGACGCATCTCTAGATCCACTGAATCCAAATATGGCGGCTTTTGACATTCCAAACCTGATTCGTAATCATGACATGCAGCTCCTTCAGCAAAACCTGATGCTGCGACTCCCCTGTGATAGCTCGGATGAATCTGATTCTCCAACCTTCCCAAAGACCAAAGAGAAAAAACCCAAACATTTCTACAAATTTCAGATATTTAAAAAGACATTTCTTAAGATCAGATTTGACCGATTAGCATTACTGGCTCTTTTAGATAGGTGATTATATATATTGTATGACAAATTTTATCCAAACAGTTTTTTTTAAAAATTGTATTTGGTTTATCCATATATTAAAGTTTTATCATTAAAAAAAAAACAAAATTTGATTAAAATTTGAAATTGAATTACAACTGAATTTTCCAATGATGACTATATTAATGTTACTTAAACCAAGCATTTTCTCTATGCAGAAACCTGTCAGTAATAGAGAACCTTATAACTGTGCTGATTGCAATCATGGTGGGGGCCCTGGGGGCTTTAGTGCTCACCCGTAACTTCTACCATGACATCTGGGTGTTTGTCTTCTGTTTTATCATTGCAGGCTGTCAATATTCTCTTCTAAAGGTAAGATCACAGAAAACAGAGAGAGACATACTCATGGTTCTTTTCTGCTGTATCTGAAAGTTTTGCTTTTTAATTTCTGTAATAACTGTAAGAATGTGTAATTTTTTTTCCTCAGAGTGTGCAACCAGATGCAGCTTCACCCATGCATGTAAGTGTGATTTTGAGCAAGTCAGTGATACTGATATTTAAAATATTTATATGCTTTCAAATGCAAAAATCTGTTAAAAGTATTGAATTTTAAACTGTTTAAATCAATATATCACTAATGTGTTACTTTTTATATGGAAAGCTTTCATAATTTCTTTGTCTATGCTGTCTATCACTGGTGGGGAAAAAACTCATGTGTTTAGATTAACTACAGGTAAACTTCGGTATCTCGACATCGGATATGTCGACAACCAGGGATATGTCGACGTCCGTCCGCGGTCCCGGCAGTATTTACTATATAAATGATTTGCAAAAACCCTGATATGTCGACCTCGGTAATCTCGACAACCCTGGTTATCTCGACGTATATTCACAGTCCCAAGAGCAAAATTTACCTGGTATATGTCGACATCGGCAATTTTCTGCTCCACTGAACCTAACTGTTTGTCAGATAGGGTCGCTCGTCACGCACGGACAGCTCCGGGTATCTCGACGTCGTCAAAAATTTATACCTTTCACACCCATGTTTTGACTGCACGCTGCTTAATTAATTCTATAGACTGTGTTTGTAGGTGAATCCAAAGCCCCCCTCGGCGTCTTTGAGACGTTAATTGCTTAATGTTCAGCTTGGGTAATATCACTGATAAATCTGCACGATTCTGCTTAAATTTACAGGTGTTTATTTATGTCGAAACCTAACATAACTTTTAAAACTGAAAAAGATAACTAAATTACAAAGAATAATAAACATATTGAATAAATTCAAACTAAAGAATTAAATGATGTTCTAATAATATTTCGTAGTTAAAATGCATTCAACAGGAAATAATCCGATTTACGACACGATTAACCGAATCATCCGTAATTCATGCATCTGTGATATCACTACGTTAGTTTAGATACACAAATCTCTTAAAAAATTAATATTAATGCACATTCTTCCTGAATGAAATAAGAAAAAAAATAATTACGCACTTCATATGTTTTCGTATCTCGGATGTCGACTTTATCATGTTTATACGGTTCGGTTCGAAGTTTATAGAGCGCATTTCGTATCCTGTTCTGACAAAAAAGCAAGTAAGACGCGAATGCTGAATGGAAAACTACAAAAATTTAGAACGATTTCGATAAAGAGAAAGAAAAGGTTTTATATATAAAATTTTTAAAAATAATTTCTTAGATTTTTAATAAAAATAGAGGGATTGCTGAAATAAGTTGACCTACAGTCTATATTGAAGTCATGTACGTATAATAAGTTTATACACGTGTATGTGTTTGGTTATGCAGTGAAATCTTGGACGTCAAGTCTCAACTCTGATATCTCGACACCTCGGATATCTCGACATTTTCGGATGGTCCCGTCGATGTCGAGATAACGAAGTTTACCTGTACTTTAAAATTGAATGCTACACTTGCAGGGATACAATCGTTTAGTGGTGTTTAGCCGTCCCTTCTATTTCTCTGTGTGCTGTGGCCTTATGTTGCTGTTAGATTATACCATTCCTTACGCCCCAACAAAACCCACCACTGTGTATGGCCTACCATTCGGCTCAGAAGATTCACTAACGTTTGCCAAGGATCTCTTAAAAAGTAAGTTTATCACAAGTAGGTGATGCATCAAGGTAAGAATGATAGAGATCCATTTATATTTTCTATGAGATGGTAATAAAATATTTTAAAACTTTTATCACTAATCAGTATTTTTTGTTCAATTAGAAACAAAGTGATGCCTTCCTGGTTTAGATGCTTGATAAAATTAAGTGAATTTTTTTCTGTTTGTGTTGATAGTTCTAGTCCTATGCCTGCCCATTATCTTTACCATCGGTCTCCTTCCTCAAGTCAACACGTTTATCATGTACTTGATGGAACAGATTGACATGCATATATTTGGTGGAAATGGTAAATAAATTAAGTGAAAATTATTTTCAATGCATTTTTTTACACAATATGAACGACAATAAATATTGTTCATTTTAAGGAGATGGTGTTTTACCTAATCAGAATTGCGTCCCATGCTTTATTTCAAAATGTTCACCGAGAGATTGATGATAAATCAAATGAGAACAGATATTGTATTTTCTGGGTATTTATGAACATTTTTGTTTTTGACAGGATCTATCAGTCTAACTTCCTCTGTTTACTCAGTCATAAGGAGTATCATTGGGGTTGCCTTTGTCTATGGATTCTGCTTTGTAGCTATTGAGGTAAGAGAATGAAAATTGAGATGAAATGACTGAAATGTATTATTACTGTTATAAATAATGAAAAATACATTAACTGTGTGTGTTTATAAGCTAGTGGTCCAGCAGTATGTGATAACAGAGACCTCTCTCAGAATGTGGTGTTTTCTTTGTTTACAGACTGGTGGTCCAGCAGTATGTGAAAACAGTGATATCCCTCAGAATGTGGTGTTTTCTTTGTTTACAGGCTGGTGGCCCAGCAGTATGTGATAACAGATCTCTCTCTCAGAATGTGGTGTTTTCTTTGTTTAGAGGCTGGTGGCCCAGCAGTATGTGATAACAGGGATCTCTCAATATGTGGTGTTTTCTTTGTTTACAGGCTGGTGGCCCACAGTATGTGATAACAGATCTCTCTCTCAGAATGTGGTGTTTTCTTTGTTTAGAGGCTGGTGGCCCAGCAGTATGTGATAACAGGGATCTCTCATTATGTGGTGTTTTCTTTGTTTACAGGCTGGTGGCCCACAGTATGTGATAACAGATCTCTCTCTCAGAATGTGGTGTTTTCTTTGTTTAGAGGCTGGTGGCCCAGCAGTATGTGATAACAGGGATCTCTCAATATGTGGTGTTTTCTTTGTTTACAGGCTGGTGGCCCACAGTATGTGATAACAGATCTCTCTCTCAGAATGTGGTGTTTTTAGCTCACCTGAGCCGAAGGCTCAAGTGAGCTTTTCTGATCACATTTTGTCTGTAGTCCGTCTGTCCGTCTGTCTGTCTGTCCGTCCGTCCGTCTGTAAACTTTTCACATTTTCGACTTCTTCTCAAGAACCACTGGGCCAATTTCAACCAATCTTGCCACAAAGTATCCTTGGGTGAAGGGGATTCAAGTTTGTTCAAATGAAGGGCCACGCCCTCTTTCAAGGGGACATAATAAAGAATTAGTGAAAAATTAAAAGCATCTTTTAAAAATCTTCTTCTCAAGAACCACAAAGCCAGGGAAGATGAAACTCATGTGGAAGCATCCTCAGGTAGTGTAGGTTCAAGTTTGTTCAAATCATGACCCCCGGGGGTAGGGCGGGGCCACAGTGGAGGATCAAAGTTTTACATAGAAATATATGGGAAAAACCTTAAAAATCTTCTTCTCAAGAACAGCGAAGCCATGATGAGTCATATTTATATGGAAGCATCCTCAGGTAGTGAAGATTCAAGTTTGTTCAAATCATGACCCCGGGGGGGTAGGGCGGGGCCACAATGGAGGATCAAAGTTTTACATAGAAATATATAGGAAAAACCTTTAAAAATCTTCTTCTCAAGAATAGCGAAGCCATGATGAGTCATATTTATATGGAAGCATCCTCTGGTAGTGTAGATACAAGTTTGTTCAAATCATGACCTCCAGGGGTAGGGCGGGGCCACAATGGAGGATCAAAGTTTTACATAGAAATATATAGGAAAAATCTTTAAAAATCTTCTTCTCAATAACAGCAAAGCCATGATTGGTCATATTTATATGGAAGCATCCTCAGGTAGTGTAGATTCAAGTTTGTTCAAATCATGACCCCCAGGGGTAGGGCGGGGCAACAATGGAGGATCAAATTTTTACAAAGGAATATATGGGAAACTTTTTTAAAAATCTTCTTCTCAATAATAGCAAAGCCCTAATTGGTCATATTTATATGAAAGCATCCTCAGGTAGTGTAGATTCAAGTTTGTGCAAATCCTGACCCCCCGGGGGTAGGGCGGGGCCACAATGGAGGATCAGAGTTTTACATAGAAATATATAGGAAAAATCTTTAAAAATCTTTTTCTCAGGAACAGCAAAGCCCTGATTGATCATATTTATGTGGAAGTATCCTCAGGTAGTGTAGATTCAAGTTTGTTCAAATCATGACCCCCTGGGATAGGGTGGGTCCACAATGGAGGATCTAAGTCTGAAATAGAAATATATAGGAAGATATCTTCTGATGAAGAACTGCAAAGTCATGATGAGTCATATTTATATGGAAGCATCCTCAGGTAGTGTAGATTTAAGTTTGTTAAAATGATGACCCCAGGGGATAGGGATGGGCCATAATAAGGGATCGAAAATTTTACATAGGAACATATAGGAAAATATCTTCTTCTCAAGAACTGAAAATCATGTTTAGTCATTTTGATATGGAAGCATCCTCAGGTAGTGTAAATTCAATTTTGTTCAAATGATGACCCCCGAGGGTAGGGTGGGGCCCAATAGGGGGATCGAAAGTTTTACATAAGAACATATAGAAAAATATTTCTTCTCAAGAACAGAAAAGCTATGTTTAGTCATATTGATATGGAAGCATCCTCAGGTAGTGTAGATTCAAGTTTGTTCAAATGATGACCCCTGGGATAGGGAGGAGCCACAATGGGGGATCAAATTTTTACAAAGGAATATATGGGAAACTTTTTTAAAAATCTTCTCAAGTACAACAAAGCCATTTGTTATATTGACATGGAAGCATCATCAGGTAGTTTAAAATTCAAGCCCCCCCCCCCCCCCCCAATCTTTTCAATACTGAACTGATTTGTGCTTTTGCCTTGCCAATGTGCTCAGGTGAGCAATGTGGCCCATGGGCCTCTTGTCTTTGTTTACAGGCTGGTGGTCCAGCAGTATGTGATAACAGGAATCTCTCAATATGTGGTGTTTTCTTTGTTTACAGGCTGGTGGCCCACAGTATGTGATAACAGATCTCTCTCTCAGAATGTGATGTTTTCTTTGTTTACAGGCTGGTGGCCCAGCAGTATGTGATAACAGAGATCTCTCTCAGAATGTGGTGTTTTCTTTGTTTACAGGCTGGCGGCCCAGCAGTATGTGATAACAGAGTTCTCTCTCAGAATGTGGTGTTTTCTTTGTTTACAGGCTGGTGGCCCAGCAGTATGTGATAACAGAGACCTCTCTCAGAATGTGGTGTTTTCTGTGTTCTCTGCCATCTTGGTGGCCGTCTCCTATCACCTCAGTCGCTCAGCCAGTGATCCCAGTGTTCTGTGGTAAAGTTTACTTTATGTCATTTAGAGATACATGTACATATGTATATCATAAAGATTTATTTTGAAATTTTCCCCCAAAATAATGTAAACATGGTTGTTTTCATGGCATATTATTTTTCACCATATCACATTTAAAAATGATTTCACTTTGTTTGATATTAGCCCAGCCACATTTGAGTGAAAAAAGAGATAACTGGATCCATTTAATTTGCCCTGTGATGATAAGGGGGAAAGGGCCAGGGATAAAATGGGGGCAATAATTTCCTTGTATTCAGTATACTGTATACAGGGTTATTTTCACCCTGTGTTATTTTCGCCCATTCACACTTGCAAGCAATTTTGCCCCATTTTAAATTCGACCAGTCACAGTTCTGTTTAAGAATTATACCATGTTCTTTGAATTTGCCCCGTTTTCAATTCGCCCACCTGTGAGTAGGGCGAAAGGGGCGAAAATAAAAGGGGGGGTGCAAAAATTTCCCTGTATACAGTATATATTCTGGTTTAAATGTGAAATATTTTACAGGATGCTGATAAGAGATTCAATCTGGGACAAGGAGGCCCCAGAGTCTGCTGAGGAAGAACTTATTGATCCACTCCCGGAGAAACTCAAACAGTGTGTGGTAAGTAAAGAACAAAACTTTGATCCACCTCTGGAGAAGTTCATTCATTGTGTGTTAAGAAAGGACAGACAGTGAGGTTTATAATATTTAATACATTGTACTGAGTTGTGATTTTCAAGCTTCATGGTCTGTGATAACCCAGGTTTTGTGATTTCAGAGTGAGCGTCTACAGTCCGATTTACTGGTCAGTGTATTCATCCTCATTATTGTGTTTGCTGTCCACGTCAGCACTGTCTTCAGTAGCCCTGTGTTACAGGTAAGGGACAACCATACATGTACTGAAATATTTATCTGTTTAGCAACATGAAAGTCCTCCATGAGATTAAAGAATTCAAAATCTATGTATTATAAACAAGAAAAAGATGTATGTATTTTGTAACCATCGTACATTTTGTTCAGTCCTATGCAATGGTCCAGAAAAAAATTCTGCATTGCCATAGATTAATGACATAACATTGCATTGGTTTTCTTCTACAGCCAGTATTGAGTGATATTCTGTACTACATTGCGGCGGGTTTTGGGTTTCTAGTCCACTATCTGATCCCAATGTTAAGGAAAGAAATGCCCTGGCTCTGCTGTTCTCATCCCCTGCTTTCTAATCGGGAAAGAAACATGTTTGAAGTCACAGGTAAATTAAATACCTACCATTCTTTTTAGCCAAAATCTCTTGGATCAATAAATATATCTTTTGACAGTATTTTTTTAATTGAAATAGAATAATAGTGATTGTGTAGAGCTACATGTATAATCATTATTATTTAACCATTATAAATCTAATGCTGTAGATCATTAAATTTTCATGACACCTAATTTTCCCAAGAGAGATGCCTGTATTTGATATTCATAAGCAAGACAAAATTTCCACAAATGTTTGTTATTCTTTAATAATACTAAATAAATATACATGAACATGTACATCTGAGAATGATTTTTTTTCCAAAACATTCTCACATAATTATGCAAAATTAAAGTTTTTGCAAATAAAAAGGGATTTACAGAATGTTAAATTTTTGTCCCTTCAGTGGCCCCTGAGATCATGTGGTTTGAGAAGATGTACGTCTGGTTGCGTTTCTTCGAGCGGAATGTCATGTACCCCGCAGTGATTCTTTGTGCCTTGACACAATCTACTGCTAACATCATCTGTAAATTTGGGATCTAGTAAGTCGGATTTGAAAATACATGTAATTTATAAATAATTTTTTTAGATTTAGAATCATCCTTTTAAACCTTCCCTGACTAAATACATGTATATTTTTTAAGCTGAACATAAGCCAAGAAAATTATTGATGAGCTTTTTTTTACAGTGTGGGTCGGTAATCGATTTGCATTTTGTTTTAAATTGTGGGCAATAATATTTTAAAAGGGGGGAGGTCAATAATTGATGTCCCCTTTTTTACAGCATGGGTCAATTGATGTCCCTTTTGTTTTACAGTGTGGGTCAATAATTGATGTCCCTTTTTTTTTTTTTTACAGTGTAGGTCCAGTGATCCTTGTCGTATGTGCCATGAAGCTGCTGCGATTTGCGTTTTGTAACACATCAAAACAATACCTCATCATCACATTCACCGTTCTCTTCTTCAAATATGACTACCGCAAGGCATCAGAAACATTCCTCATTGATTACTTCATTGTCTCCATTCTTCTCTCAAAGGTAAGAAATTGGAAAGATATAGGAAATGTTTAAAATCTGGTGGATTATTCAAGAAATTTTCATAGTAAGACGAATTAATACACACATTTAAGAATTGAAAGTCAATGTATATGTACCACACAGGTTTTTTGCTTTTGGTAGAAAATATCCAGACTTTTGTGTTAAAAGTACTGGCTACAGATTTTAAAAGGATAGATACACATGTAGTATGAAAGTAAAAGAACTTGATCCATGATGAATATGATTGTTGTAATTTATTCTATTGTTACAGTTCTGTGATTTGATGCTGAAGATGAAGTTTATTATCACGTACATTGCTCCGTGGCAGATCACATGGGGCTCCGCCTTCCATGCCTTTGCTCAACCATTCAGTGTTCCTCGTATCCTTCTTTGATGAACACAATCTTTTTAGTGCTTACTTTGTCTTATGACCAATGCTGAAAAATTGAATTTATCAAGATTCTCACAATTTTATTGTAAATCAAACCATGAAACATTTGTAAGAATTTCCATTGACTTTTTCATCAGATTCTGCAATGTTATTTGTACAAGCAGCAGTCTCGTCGTTTTTCTCTACACCACTCAATCCATTCCTCGGGAGTGCCATCTTCATCACATCGTATGTTCGTCCAATCAAATTCTGGGAAAAAGATTACAAGTAAGTGTGACCCTTGCAGATTGCTCATAAATTAGTAACAGTAAAGGGAATGTTAAAAAATAACAATTTTCTGGTTCAATTGAATTAAAATACTGTAGATTCCTAAATATAAGCTAGGAATTAATTAATATGTAATTTTGGGAGAAGCACCACACGTGAAATAAATTTACTCGCTTTTATTTTTATGGTACTGAAATCCATATAAAACCTCTTGATCAACCATCCACTCGCGAATTATTGTTCTTGAATAAAGTATGTATACAAGACATATTTCTGTTGTTCGCCATATTAAGTACTCACGAAAAATAAGGAATCTACAGTAATTAGTTTCAAAGTTTAAACCTTAAATAAACAGCACTGTTGAGAGTCTTTTATATAAAATTGCCCCTTTACTCTTGCAGTACAAAGAGAGTGGATCATTCCAATACCAGATTATCATCTCAGCTAGACTGTAACCCAGGTACATGTATTAGCATGTGTTTCTTGACCCAAAGATTGAATTTACATGAATCTTACAGTATACTTTTTTTTGCAGTAGGAATTCTTTAATTTTTTCCTATCTGTTTACAGGTGCTGATGATAACAACCTGAACTCTATATTCTATGAGCACTTGACACGGTCCTTACAGCACAGTCTGTGTGGAGACTTGATGCTGGGACGGTGGGGGAACGTAGAGCAGGGGGACTGCTTCATCATGGCCTCAGACTACCTCAACGCTCTGGTCCACATTACAGAAATGGGGAACGGTCTTGTCACATTCCAGCTCAGGGGGCTAGAGTTCAGAGGTGTGTAAAGCAGGGATATCCAGGGAATTCAATCTGTCAAAAACAAATTTTGTTTAATAAGCAAAAAAAAAAAACCATCTTTGTGCAGTGGCAGTACCACAGCAGATGTGGTTATTGCTAGTTGAAAACTATACCAATAATCATCAGCAGAATCAGAATTGTATGAAGCATATTCCTGAAAACAATAATTTGAAATTTCCCACTGTGAATCAAATTTATAAATGTTAAGTAAACATTAAATTACCAATAAAGAAGACCTGAAATTTAAGAATTATTTTTATAAATTGCTTACAGGAACATACTGTCAACAACGAGAAGTAGAAGCCATCACAGAGGGAGTCAAAGATAATGAAGGTCAGATTTAGTGATTATGTTGATGATTTGTTTTTGTGATAAATGTAAATTTTATCTTTAAGTTGTTCTAAACTTAGATAAGGAAAAAAAAATTCAGGTTGCATATGCAATGATATACCTGTAATTCTGTTTAATATTTCACTCATATGAAATTGTACCTTCCTTGTGCCTTGTGATTGAGATATTTTTAAGATCTTGCAATGGAGACTAATTTTCCTTTTTTAGGCTTTTGCTGCTGTGAGCCTGGTCATCTGCCTCATTTTCTCTCCCTCAATGCGGCGTTCAATCAGCGGTGGCTAGCGTGGGAGGTGGTGGTCACTAAGTACATACTGGAGGGGTACAGTATATCAGACAACAGTGCTGCTACCATGGTGCAGGGATTTGATGCTCGGAGAATTCTACTCAATTATTATATCATGGTAATCACTTTTGCTACTTTGAGAAGTGAAAGGAAAGAGCAACCTTAAGAAGTTAAGATAATTATATGTACATGTACTGTAATTATATTGTAAACCAACTTCTACATGTATCTTCATGTGATAAATATCTGCTAGTTTAGCAACTTCGTTTTACTTGTGAATATTCCCAGTTGCAAACCATTATTTAGTTGTTTATTTCTATAGAAAGTTTCGCCAGTTATGAATAATAGTTGGTATATAGTGTACCTATGGTTAGTTGTTTTGTCCTGATGGCTGTGACTAACATCTGTTTTCATTACCTGTGTTGTAGAGTATTATATACTACACCGTGAGATCCCCCCGTCTTGATACGTGGCTCACAAACGAGGCTATCCTGGAGACCCTACAGGCTACAGAGGGAGAGGATTTTGTAGACGTGGATCCTATTTTTACCCAACCCACAGATGATGACTACGACCCCAAACTGAAGGGCGTGTCACGGAACAAGTTCTGTAGTGTTTTCCTGGACTGGATCCAGTACTGTGCCTCAAGGAGAGATAAGGTTATTTTACTATAATCATAAAAACAATTTTAAGTTCATTTAAACATACTGTATAAGCAGAAATTTTAGCGAGGATGCGATTCTGGCATTTTTAGCTAGAGTGTTGAGATCGCTAAAATTATATATCGCTAACAATTTAATCTTCATAAGAGGTTACCTTTGTTTTTCTATGCACCATAAAATTGCTAAAATTACTTCTTGCGAAAATTAAACAATGATTTTTAAGGACAAATTGCGAAATTTGCATCTTGCTAAAAATTCCGCTTATACGGTATTTCACATTTTGTTGAAGATTTCAACATATCATGGTCTTAGATTTAGAAATAATGAAGTTAAATATGGCTTAAAATTTTAAGATTTTTGTGGTAGATTGACAGTGGTAACGTAATTAAGATCTTTCTTTCAGTCGATTGACTGTGTTAATATAATAACATAACTTTTTCTTCAGTCGATTGACAGTGGTAAGAACTCTCCTCTGGTGTCTTTGTCCCTGTGTTTGGGACTTCTGGGTCGGAGAGCTTTAGGAACGGCGGCCCATAACAATACAACAGCTGCAGGGTAAGATAAACAAGATATAAAGAACTCCTGTGAAATCACATTGCCATTGTTTGTCTAGTTCTCTATTTATAGTGTCTCTTTCTGGGTTTCAGAGCGGAGTTTTTCCTGTATGGATTACATGCCCTGTTCAAGGGAGATTTCAGGATTACCTCCCCTCATGATGAGTGGGTGTTTGCAGATATGGAGCTTCTCAGGAGAGTTGTTGCCCCTGCTATCAGAATGGCCCTCAAACTTCATCAGGTAACAGAAGATGTTTAAATTCATTACTAAGTTTTGAAATATTATTTGGCTCTGGCCGGTAGGCTGGGTAGAATGTCATACACTGCATTTATATTTCATTTAATATGAAAATTTCCCCAAGCTACTGTATACATATGATAGTCTTTATTAATTCTGTTCTTTACTTGTCTAGGATTATTATTTGTTTACTGATGAATATGAGGACCATGAGACGCTGTATAATGCCATCAGTAATTACGAACAAACTCTAGTCATCTCACACGAAGCCGATCCACAGTGGAGGAATGCCGTGCTTTCCAACACGCCCTCCCTACTGGCACTCAGGTACACATTCTCTTAAACACAAAATTAATTTATCACTCAAACTACATTTCTTTTTTCCCTTAAAATTTTAGGTTTTAAATTTTATGATTCTCAGGATCTTAACATTTGCAGCTACATGTATAAGAGGGAAAAATACATTTATGAGCAAAGTAATTTTAAGAAAAGAAAATAAACACAAAATTACTGATTTCATCACTTTTGCATTTGATGCAATTCTTATGCATATGATAATGTTGGCACTGAAGTATACAGAGTAGAGTACCTGGTTGTCTTTTTGTGTGAGTGTACTCTGAGATCAATACAAGTATGGATTTAATAATTTTTATTTTAGGCACGTGTTTGCAGACACTGAGATCTCAGACAAATACAAAATCATCATGCTCAACAAAAAATTCCTCTCCTTCAGAGTTGTCAAGGTAACTGTCTTTCACTGTCATAATTAGTGAATATATGCTATATTCATAATAAGTTTGAAATAACATATTGTCTTGAGGGTAGAGTCATCTATTTCAGATATTTGTTAAACCAATTTTCAAATATGGATAAGTATAAAGAGAGCAATAAATTTAAAGTTATAGATTTTTATGAACAGATCCGATTGATTTATTATAGGTAAATCGTGAGTGTGTAAGAGGATTATGGGCCGGGCAGCAGCAAGAACTTATTTATCTACGCAATCGTAACCCAGAAAGAGGCAGCATCCAAAATGCAAAACAGGCTCTTCGCAACATGATCAACTCATCCTGTGATCAGCCTATTGGATATCCGATCTACGTGTCACCCCTGACAACGTCGTACTCGTCCACACACAATCAGCTCTCCTCAATCATCGGCGGGGAATTTATTCTGGCCAATGTCAAAAAATTCTTTAAAAACACCTGGGTCAGGTACACTTGTCTCAAAATATTTACATTGTACTTTGATATCTTTTTTTTTTCAGTGCAAGAATTTTGATAAATGAGTACTTTCTGAACACAAGCTTTTTAAAAAAAATAGACTGATTGGGGTAATATTTATTACAAATGAGCATTACTTATTAACTGGAAAATTCAGCTATCAATTTTCCTGTCAAGATATTTCAAGTTGTTTGCAGGATTACTTTACAATATGTATGGACATAGAATGTGGTAAATGTTTATAGATAATTTCAAGATTGTTGATGGGTTTATTACTAATACATGTAATTATTAAATTGTATGTCACTGTTTGTAGGATGCGTCGTCGGTGTGGGGCGACTTGTACGGGCGGCAGTGCTAGCTGTCCTGATGATCTTCCTTACACAGTGGCCTGTTCACACACAGGGGCAGCCATGACTCTAGGTAAAGCAAGCAACTGGAAAAAAAATAATAATAATTAATGTAAACATGCATAAATATTTAGCAAAACATTCCTTATCGATTGATATGCAAAATCATGAATTAGCACTGACAGTTTTAATCATATAAATGTATTAGTGTGTACTTAAAGTAGCCGGACAAATATTTGATTTGAAATATATATGATTTTATTGTGCTTATTCTTATACCTTCAGGAACCAGGTCTGTTTTGTCCACACCTACTAATCAACAGGAAATTGGACTCCAGACTCTGGGTAACCGAGGAAGCTTGGTATCCACAGCCAGCTCTGCCAGCAAACCAAATGCTTTGGTGACCCTGGCAGGGTTCATCACCGAGACAACCACAAACAAGGAAACCCTCACACACAAAGTCAGAGTATGGAACCTACATCAATCTTTATGTACTAAAAGGGAGCTTACTGTTTTTTCTGTGTAAAAACTACAGGAGGGAAATTCTTAAATACCAGTGTGGGGCCTACACTGACTTCAGTGTATAGTGTACATGCAAGGTTTCAGGAAAATCTACCATCTGGGTATATTTAATGATGATCTCAAAATGCATTTGCATATACTATAGGCTTATAGATGTATTGGGAAATGCTTTTTTCACACTTCAAGGCATTTTTTTTCTTTTTGCTCCAATTATAATATGTGATGAGTAATACATGTATGTACTGTATTGTGCATTATACTGGTATTTAAGAAATGTAAAATACTCCCATCAGGTTTCTAGAGGGGGCAGATCAAAATTTCCAAATTTTTCTTTTTAATGAAGTTCTACAAAATATGACAGATACATGTACTAAGGATTTATATAGAAAATTACTTAAAAAAATAATAGCGATATTTTCAAATTCCTGTAAAATATAAAGAGCATCAATTAATATAGAATTTATAAGCTCAAAGAAATATACATTACAAATATTGTACATGCACATTTTTTTTATAGATAATGGACACAAATTATGTGTTTGAGAACATTAACCTTGGGAGGAGAATCGATGTTCAGTGGCCAAATGAGGAGTGGAAGCAGAGTGGGGGTAAAAATGGCTGGAATGGCTGGATGCCGACAAAAGGTATGGAGGGGACTGTGGTCCACAAGTGGGTGCCATGTCACAGAGAGACGCTCAAACGTTCCCACATAGACAAAGTCATATATCTCGTACAGATCTCGGATAAATATGTGCCAATCTCAGAACAGGGAGTCCTAGATTTGGGGGCAGAAGTTTGATGTCTTATTAATTACATGAGATTACTTCGTATGGGAGCTGACCAAATCTTGGATGTACTGCACTGACCAATTTTTTCGTCAACATTCACGACGCATCATTCCATAGTAATATATATTTACACCACACTGCTATAACCACATCTTCTCAGATTTTTTTTATTCAGTGCATATCATTTGACTGTGTTTCACTATATCTCAATCAAATATAGACATTTTAACCCAATTCCTGTTTTGAAAGAAAAATGAATGTTGTAAGTATTGAAATAGTTTTATAGTTACATGTTTCTGTTGGACCTGTATGTTGTATGGAGATCTGCGACTGTGACAAATGTTAGCAGGCTCTAGGAATGTAAATACCAAAGTTTTCTCAGTTGTATATCATGTCAGGTGCTATATACATTTGTATATATATATATATGTGTATTTTATGTTGAATTCAGACTGTGATAAAATAAACACAAAGCATTTAGAACATAGACATTATCGTAGTTAATTATCTTTAATTGCCTGCTCAGTAGTTAATGAGGGATGTTTTATACAAAATTAACCGAGTTTTTATGTTTGTGAATATCCTACAGAATTTTGGCCACCATGTTTATATATGATGAAATCTAAATGAGTGTATGTTTACTTGTGCATTTAGTAATCATTTTTAGCTCTCTTCAGTGCTTGGTTAATAAAAAATTGCGTCAATATGAATACCATATGCTAAACCATGTTCATGGACAAGGGTAATTTTGAATATATTCAGTTTAATTACTTAGATGATCTAATTGAGCATGTTCTCTGTACATTTTTCAAACTTTAAAATGTACTGGTCTACATGTTTTGCCTTCTTCACTTGTTTCTCAATGCTGAGTATTTTTATAGACTAGCCTGATATCACAGCAAGGTGTTTTAGAAATTTTAGTAAATCAGACATTATTTCTTTTAGACGTTTTAAGTCTGTGTTCACCGAATGCCATTTTCAGGCAATGCTCAGTTTTAATGAAATCCAGTCACTCTGTGTTCCTTCCTTCTGGTCCCAGAGTTAAATTTTCTGTATTTAACAGTTTTTCTGTTGCTTCAAGGTAGATTTTTTTTTTTGGTTTTTCTGTCACATCAAACCATGTCAGAGAATCACATTTCCAAAATGTCCGTCCACCTATTTCCATTCCTGTGGCTATAAGTATATGGGTAACAACTTTGTAGTGTGTGTATTGGATTAAAATTTCGGCACTTCAAAGCCTGTGTGATTTTGCTATAAGGTCAGGTTTTTTTTATGCCACTTAAAAGACAAATTGATGTCTGATATGTCAAGTTTATATTATGTTGCTTGCTAAAAAATTATATTTGATCGTTAATTGGTTTTTCATTGCTTTTTTTTCACTAGAGCTGCTTCAATAATCTATTCTACATGTTTGTACAATATGTGTGTATTGAACCATAATTTGACAGTGTCAATGAAAACTGGCGTAATGTTATTAAATTCAAAGTGAGTATAGAACTTGTAAAGGTACATCTCAAATGATATATTTGTATTCACTGTCCCCCAGGTTTCTTTTTTTTTTTCACCGATATTCTGCTTCAGAAAATACTGTTCAATCAAACTTTTGTATATTTTCTGTTATACCACAAATGACCTGAAAGCGAGACACATGTTGTGGTACCTGATGTAAGGGTGGATACATGAGTATAATTAATATCGGATCTTGTTAATGTTGAACAAGTTATATGTATTGCATCTAATGTTTTGTAATTTATTGTCATATTATGTTAACAAAATTAATGGATGTGAAACATCAATAAAAACACCAAATCAATAACAAATAATTTTTTTTTATTATATACTGAAAAAAAAAACGATTTAGTGGATTTAAATTAATCAGTCAAATGATATTTAAAGAGACATCATAAATTTCCTTTGTATGTAAATCAAACAAGCAAATTCAAAGAATTGTGGTCCCCCGCTTTCTGTGTTTTAGTGGATGGGATGCCATTATTTATTGCTTATTGTAACTGTCTTATTTGTGTGTCCTCTCTTGTCTGTGCATTATACAAAAAGATAAATTATTGAATTAATAACAGTTATGGCAAAGATTATAGCTTCTCAAAACTATATGAAACTTCAAGGTCATGAGGTCAAATATCATAATAAAATCCGAAAGGTCTTGTCACAAGTATAAAAGCACATGTGAAAAAAAAAAATCAAAAACCAGAGTATACAATCGGAAAGGTTTTGAAACAGGTAATGCACATGTCAAATGTAAATGCCATATCTTCTCTCAATCAAAAGTTATTAGCAATGAAAATTTTTGAAAAGTAGGTCAAACTTCAAGGTCAAGGCCATGGGATTAAAAATCATAGTACATTTTGAAACAGGTAATGCACATGTCAAATATGATAGCCCTATCTTCACTTCTTCAGAAGTTAACAACACTGATTAAATGTTTGAAAAATATGTCAAACTTTAAGGTCGAAGTCATGGGGTCAAATGTCATAGCATATTCAGAAACACTTTGACACAGGTAATGCACTTGTCAAATATGAAAGCCCTATCATATGTCATTCAAAAGTAATCACAAAAGTTAAAATTTTTGAAAATTAGGTCAAACATGAAGGTCAAGGTCAAGGAGTCAAAAAGCATGCTCAGAAACACCTTCTCATTGGTAATGCACATGTCAATTATGAAAGCCCCATCTATTCGCAATCAAACGTTATAAGCAGACATAAAAATTTCGAAGAGTAGGTCAAACTTCAAGGTCACTGGGTCAAAAACCATAGTATACTTGGAAATGTCTTGTCACAGGTATTGCACATGTCAAATATGAAAGCCCCATCTCTTCTCAATCAAAAGTTATAAGCAAAGATACACTTTTTGAAAAGTAGGCCAAACTTCAAGGTCAAGGTAATGGGGTAAAAAATCATAGTATATTTGGAAAGTTGTTGTCACAGGTAAAATAAATATTTAATATGAAAGCCCTATCTATTCTCATGACCAATTTAAAGTAATCTTAACATTTTTGAAAAGTAGGTCAAACTTCAAGGTTAAGGTCACGGGGTCAGAAATCATAGTATATTTGGAAAGGTATTGTCACAGGTAATGTACATATGAAATATGAAAGCCCTATCTCTTCTCATTCAAAAGTTATGACCAAGGTTAAAGTTTTTGTGACTGACAGACTGATAGACAGACGAATGAAATTTAATGTCCCCTCGCTTTCGCGAAAGCGGGGGACAAAAAAAAAAAATGATAGCAAAGCAAAGCATAGTATAGCAAAGTTTTGAAAAACTCGACTGCAAGGCATCGTCTCAAGCCACGGTTCGGAGTCCTCACGTAGCTCTCCAGAATGGGAGAGAATCGTACATTTTGGCCGTGGTTTGCGACGATGACTGCAAGGTAGATCAAGCAAAAAACACAGAAAACGAAGGTTCTATCTACCGGTGTTATATATCGTCACGTGATTTATTTTTAAACCGCGTAAAAGTAAACATTCAACATAAGCATGCAAAGTTAAAGAATTTTGATTATTATTTTTTTCTTTTGGAAGATTGTATTAAAAATCCTCTGTCTACCGACATTTCCACTTTTTGTGACTGGAGATAATGATAACTGACTGTCGACGTTTATTGAAGGCTAACAAACTAACAGCTAAACTTCATGGCAAACAGTGAGCAGCCTTTCCATCATCTGCTACTTGTAGTATTCCTACAGTAATATTCCACGATCACCTGCATTTTGTGTTTATTTATCACAACTGATGAGGTAAGTAAGGACATGTTCTGAGTAAACCAAGCCAGGCTTCTGACAAAAAGTTAATGTTAGAGGGCATTTACCATTTTTGCAGAATTCTCAGTCTTTATATTAACCTATTGTGTGGTCGAATTTGACGGATATCTTTTATTTTAATTGTTAGATCATTGTTTTTCTGCTAATTCTGACTGCGGATAACTCCATTGATCTGACCAATATAGAGGGCGTTCGTCGGGTACGTCAGATCGACAGAGGATTACTTCTCCTCCTAGGCACCCGATCCCACCTCTGATGTGTCATGGGATCCATGTTTCTGCCCTGTTCACGATTGGTATTTTTTATAGGATTTATTAGATTGACAATGCTTCCTGGTCTTATTTTTGAATTTCAAATATCTAAAAGTTCAACTTCAGTGTATAGAAGGGATTACCTATGCCTTAGACTGCCAACAAACTGCAGTCACCTATCTATCAGATACAGATAGAAGCTTAACTTAAATAGATACATTGTACTATAAACAACTTTTGCTTAAAAATTGAAACAGGGAATATGTCATGATTTTCATTATGATTTATACTTCGGATATAAGCCAGTGTCGAGTGAAAAGAGGGAACGGGGAACGATATCTTTTTTCAGGCACCTAATCATTAATATTGTAAAAGATTGGTAAACTTACACGGTATTATGCTTTATTTGTACCTTCATCTTATTGTTGGAACGGTTAGAAATGTTCATTTTCATTTACAATTTTGTGCATGTTTTCCACTAGACTGAAGCTAGCAGCCAATAACAGCAGCCATTAAGCCCGTAGAAGCTAGCAGCCACTAAGGAAATTCATCAAAGGACTGAGAGTACTCTGACGCAATACTGTTTAATGCCTCATTTTCGACAATTTATAATTAATAATTAGATAATTAATGCAACACTTAATTATTAATTAATAATTCAAACACTTGGAGGCAGTTAAGCTCACCTGCATAAGGAAAATTATGCGGTTTCACAACAAACAAACAAACAAACAAAAAGAAGAAAATGTCACCATCTTTGACCGCTTAAGAATAAAACAGCATTGGATAGGTTAAGTACTTCCGGGAGAATCCCTTTTAGGCTCTTTTACGGGTCTCAGGAACATGATGAAATTTGCTTACTCCTAAAATTTACATTGATAAGGGTTTGAAGGTAATTTAATCTATTTTAAGTTATGATCCTTGAAGTGTGCTTCGAACAATTACTGGCTCAAGGTAAAAGGGTCCACAGGGCTATTATATACGGCCATAAAATTAAGGCTGAAGTGGTACCACCAAGTGGTGCCAAGGGCGGGTTACGTATTTCAAGCAGCTATTATACCTCTTATCTTATAAGTGTGCTTTAAATCATTACTGTGCAAGATAGAAGATTTCTAGGACTATCTTTCCCGCAATCGGTTTGAGGCTGTAACGGCACCACCAAGTGGTGCCAACGGTGGGGAACATCTTTCATGCTTTCATTTTTCAACCATCAATGACCACTAGAACAAACTAACACTAAACTGGAAAAAAGTTAAGGGCCTTAGGGAGTATCCTTTGTCAACTTTTTGACAGGTTCCAATGACTAGAAAAGGCCAGTTAGGTAACCTGAACTTTGTTGTTTTTCACATTGTCTATTGATATACAGATTAAAAGTCAGATGTTATACCCCTTATCTTTGAAGTGTGCTTCAAATCATTACTGGGGCAAGGTAGAGGGCCCCTAGGACTATCATTTCCCGCTATCAGAATGTTGCTGTAGTGGTACCACCAAGTGGTGCCATGGGTGGGGTACGTATTTCAAGCATTCATATTGAAAGCATCTTTGACTACTAGAACAAAGTAACACTAGTGAAAGGTTAAGGACCTTAGGGAGAACCACTTGCCAGGTTTTGGAAGTGTCCCTAGGAAAGGAAGGGGCCAGTAAGCTAACCTGAAATTTGTTGGTTTTCACTTTGTGTTTTAATATACGGGTTAAAGGTCAGCTATTATACCTCTTATCTTTGAAGTGTGCTTCAAATCATTATTGGGGCAAGGTAGAGGGTCCCTTGGACTATCATTTCCCGCTATCAGAATGTTGCTGTAGTGGTACCACCAAGTGGTGCCATGGGTGGGGCACGTATTTCAAGCATTCATATTGAAAGCATCTTTGGCTACCAGAACAAAGTAACACTAGTGAAAGGTTAAGGACCTTAGGGAGAACCACTTGCCAGGTTTTCGAAGGGTCGTGTTGAAGAAAAAGGGCCAGTAAGCTAACCTGAACTTTGTTGTTTTTCACTTTGTGTTTTAATATACGGGTTAAAGGTCAGCTATTATACCCCCTTAACTTTGAAGTGTGCTTCAAATCATTACTGGGGCAAGGTAGAGGGCCCCTAGGACTATCATTTCCCACTATCAGAATGTTGCTGTAGTGGTACCACCATGTGGTGCCATGGGTGGGGCACGTATTTCAAGCATTCATTTTGAAAGCATCTTTGGCTACTAGAACAAAGTAACACGAGTGAAAGGTTGAGGACCTTAGAGAGAACAACTTCCCAGGTTTCTGAAGGGTCCCGACAAAGAAAAAGGGCCAGTAAGCTAACCTGAAATTTGTTGTTTTTCGTTTGTGTTTTAATATACGGGTTAAAGGTCAGTTAATATACCCTTTATCTTTGAAGTGTGCTTCAAATCATTATTGGGGCAAGGTAGAGGGCCCCTAGGACTATCATTTCTTGCTATTAAAATGTTGCTGTAGTGGTACCACCAAGTGGTGCCATGAGTGGGGGACCTATTTCAAGTATTCATTTTGAATGCATCTTTGACTACTAGAACAAAGTAACACTAGTGAAAGGTGAAGGACCTTAGGGAGAACCACTTGCCAGGTTTTGGAAGGGTCCCTAGGAAAAGAAGGGGCCAGTTAGCTAACCTGAACTTTGTTGTTTTTCACTTTGTGTTTTAATATACGGGTTAAAGGTCAGTTAATATACCCTTTATCTTTGAAGTGTGCTTCAAATCATTATTGGGGCAAGGTAGAGGGCCCCTAGGACTATCATTTCCCGCAATCAGATTGTTGCTGTAGTGGTACCACCA